CTAATTGACAAGCATTTGTGGAGGCTTCAGTACACTGCCTGAACCCCCTTTAATGAAGGCAGGTGGACAGCAGACAGCCAACGATGATGGCTTTCGCACTAAACTGTAAGAGAAAGTGTGATCTTTGAAAAGAAAACTAAAAGTACTGAATGAAAAAAATGAAATAAAAAGAGGACAAGACTGGTCCTAAGGGGTTGAGGTTTTTATCGTAGGTAGAAGGGAGAAACCAAGGAGATGCCGAGCATCCAGAGTGGATATGACCAGCAGACGGGACCAAGCCTTGTGCAGAGATGGAGAGAGGGGAATCAGGAGCAGTGGCCAAGAGGGCAAGAGACAGAGGGCCAAAAGGACCAAAATGACTGGCATGTGTAAAAATCAGAGAAGCTGGAGGAAGGGAAAGCCCTGCCCATTCCCTGGCCTGGAGAAGTTTAGGGTAAGGGGCGGGATATGACAGCCATACCTGTAACTGGCAGGGACTGCGGGATGCTTGGAGGGAGAACCTGGTGGCCAGCATCAGCTTTGATGTGTTAATGGGCACCCCAGTTAGTCAGTTTTTCCAGAGGGGGCAGTGAGACCTAACAGGTAGAGAAAGAGTGTGAGACCCAGAGGATTAGGATGTGCACTGTGGATAAATCCACATACGACATGGGCTGTAACTAACTTCATCTAAGATAGAAGAAGGAAGGAGTAAAGTTTGTTAGACACACTGAGGCGCAACCACTGAGAACAAAACGGTAAAGAGAAGCTGGCTGCAGAGTCAGGCTCAGGAGTCACTGCTAAGGGGGACTCTACAGGGCAATGGGGCAGCGCCTCTCTCTCTCTCTCTCTCTCTCTCTCTCTCTCTCTCTCTCTCTCTCTCCCCTCTCTCTCTCTCTTCTATAAACCCACCCATATAATCTTAACACTGTAGCAGCCCGAACAATGACAACACCACTCGACAGCCCAAAATAGATGGCGGAAAACCCACGATGAAGAGCTACAGACAATGAAGGTCTACTGAGAGGGAAATAATCTTCCCAAGAACCGTAGAGATGGACCCCCTAATTGGCTGTTGATACCAGTGATCAGTCGTGTGTGTATGTGTGTGTGTGTGTGTGTGGTGTGTGTGTGAGCAACACTAAATGAATATAATAGGTGGTATCTATAGGCTAATTCATTTATTCATATATAGATACACATATATAATATATATAATTTTTAAGAGACCACTAATTTGAGAGGAAGTTTGGGAGGAATCAGAGGATTAAGGGAAAGATGTAAATACAGTGCATAAATATAAAATTTAAAGACAAATTCACTAAATAAAAAATGAAAAGCGAGTGGGTACTCATTCTTTTAAGCAAAAGCTACATTCTCTTCTAATTGTATTCTTCAGTCGTCAAGAGAAACAGTTCACACTTAAAGTGGAAAGACAGCACAGTTCGTGGGATGGGTGCTGTCTTCAGGCATGACTGGACCCGAGGGCTCCCGATGATGCCAGCAGGAGCCTCTCCATCTCCATCTTCTCACATCTATTTTTCTCTCTGCGCATGACCTCATCTTCTCTCTCTTTTATACTGAAAATAGCCTTTCTGTTGTCAGGGAGGGTGGCCTTGGACAGCTCCTGCTTGCTTTACCCTTTCAACTCCAGATCCAGTGGGAAGAAAGATGGCAAAAGCTGCCTCTCCCCCTCCCCTAGAATCTTTAAGCAAAAACCAGAGAGGATAACAATTGGAGATACATCACTCAGGATCAGATGGGGCACAGAAACCTAGCTGCTTGCCCAAACAGGCACAGTTTAATGTATCCTGTTTCTAACTAGAAGTGTGTAGAAGGTGGTTTACCTGAACCGTTAGTCCTGCCCCCTTTACCTTTGTGAAGGAAAAGTCACTAAAACCCAAGAAAAGACTCAGAACAGCAGGGAGTTGGCGGGTGGTGACAAGCAGCGCCTAGCTGCAGGCTTCAGGGGCTAGAACAACGGAAGACAAAAGCTGCATGTTATCCCCCACGTTTGGATCCTCGTCTGAACTGTTAACCATGTGTGTCTAAGTGGGAGTGAATATGAGTGAAGTCCAGGAAGCTACACAAGGACGGTGAGCCCCGGGGGCATAAAGACGAGCCTGGTGCGAAGGCACAGGAGCAGAGCAGAGCGCAGGTGATACTGAAAGGGGTTCAATCAGGAAGGGAGGCAGGGGCATGACAAGCGGGATGGGCGTGGGAGACAGAAAGTCAACCAAAATGAAAGATGAAACCCCTAAGTAAAAAACTATTTCTTGACAAGCTACTCGAATAATAATAGTAATAGTAATTTAAAGATCCTAAGGAATAAAAGAAAAGACCATCGTTGAATAATGGTAAGCTGGAGAGCCCTCCAAGGGGCGTGGCTACTGCTGGGGCTGCTGGTGGTGGTGGTGGTGGTGGTGGTGGTGGTGGTGGTGGTGGTGGTGGTGGTGGTGGTGGTGAGGAAATTCACCACGAGGCACAGAGAGAGGTCTTCCTACAGAAGCAGCTGGCCCACCTGGGAGGGAGTGGACTGGATGGGCTATGCCTGCCCTGGAGAAAAAGCCACCCTTGCCAGAGAGCCGGGCTGAGGGAAGTGTCTGGGTAAGGCGATGGGTGAGCACCAGTCATATGATGTGATAGCCACCAATCAACTCACAGTGATAGCTGTCATCACACAGAGATATTTGGCTGGCACAGTTCTTAAAGCCTTACAGATGTTAGCTCATTTTACCTCCCTGACCCGAGAGCCAGGCAGAGGATGCAGAGAGAGAGAGAGTTCCTGCTATATAGTCACAAGGCTCTCACTACCATGGTAACAGAGGACCAGAACCAGAAGGGCAGTATCTTTTGATGCTGTTGCCTTGCAGGGGCACTCAGTCCAAGTCCTCCCAAGCTCCTCCTCAAATTCAAGGCCTCTGTAAACAGATTTTTAATACATAATTTTAAAGAATTATGTATACTATATGTGTAGCTATATATGGATAAATGTACACACACACACACACACACACTTACAGACATGGCTTTACCATTCTGCCAGTGGGCAAACCCAAAATATTTTTAGGGCTCAGCCTCAAGATTGTAAAACAAAGAGAAAAAGAGCAGGTTTTGAACAAGGAGCCAATAAATTAGGTGCAGTCCTACTTGAGACACATGCACAACCCTGAACCACTCATGCTAAGTAAGGGAAGGACAATGCCCATGAGCCAAGTCCAGGCCAGGTTCACAAGTTTGTTTGTTGCTGTGCCCAGAGCCAATACAAGGAAAACAGCTTCTCCTCTATAGGTAGAGGGCTTCTCGCAGGCAAGGGGAAAGGAAAGAATGCTAGAGAAACACCAGATAGCTGGGGTCGTTAGTTCAAGAAAATTAAAGCCCTTCTTTAGGCTCAACAGCACTGCAATTCACTCAGTGCTTAGGAAGCTGATCCTTGCCAGCCCTAAACCACTGCCATGCTCACAGACTCAAGCAAAATTGTGACGTCTAAATAAGAAAGGACCCCCCAAAAAGAAGGCTACAGTAAAAATGGGAACAGTGGGGAAGCTCCAAATAATCACAGTCCCAACCACCTGTGCATTTTGAAGAGGAAGCACTGGGCACAGTCAACACTCTGGGCTCCACTGAGGCTTTGGTTCCGCCTCCACCTCCGTGTTCTTCTGCCAGCTTTGTTCCACATCTTTACATGATACTTCCTCAGACCCTTGTTAAGGTGGTTGGATGAAGAATGGCCCCCATAGGCTTAGATATTTGATTGCTTGGTCCTCAGTTGGCAGAATTGTGTGGCAAGGGTTAGGAGGCATGTCCTTATTGGAGAAGGTGTGCCACTGTTGGTGGGCTTTGAGGTGGCAAAAGCCCACATTAGATCCAATCTCTCTCTCTCTCTCTCTCTCTCTCTCTCTCTCTCTCTCTCTCTCTCTNTCTCTGTGTGTGTGTGTGTGTGTGACTCTCTGTCTCTGTCTCTCTGTGTCTCTGTCTCTGTCTCTGTCTCTGTCTGTCTCTCTCTCTCTCTCTCTCTCTCTCTCTCTCTCTCTCTGCCTCCTGCCTGGGGATCAGGATGTAACTTCTCAGCTACTGATCCAGCTCTGTGCCCGCGTGCCTGCTGCCACACTCCCTGTCAGGTTGGTATGGGCTCACCCCCTGAAACAGCAAGCAAGTCCCCAATTAAATGTCTTCTTTTATTAATTCCTTTGGCCATGGCATCTCTTCGCAGCGATAGGACCGTGATTAAGACACCTCATACACTCTTCCTCCCAAGTTTTCCCTTCTCTTGTGTGCCGTGTTCTCACTTGCATGGGTCAAATGCTTATTTGGTGTCCCTCTCCTCTATTAGACCATAAGCTCCTTGAGAGGAGAAAATTCATACTCCTGAGAAACAAATAATGAATGCTTCCCTCTAGCAGGTGCCTAACAGGTTTTCATTTGGGTGGAGGCACACATAGAATTAAAGTGGGCCCATAGAAACCGCCATCTTAACAATACTTTAGGCCAAGGAATTGGTGCAAACTCTTGGAAGCAAAGGCTTGTGTGCATCGCAGGGGCGAGGAGAGAGACCTGTTGGAAGTGTTAGCAGTAAACACGGGTGCCTTTTTTTTCTGCGCAGTGAAAGCGAAGTTCTTAATGGAAGATGATCTGAATCAATAGCGCCAGACAGCTGATTTATATAATGGCTTCAAGCTGAAGCCGTGGTCTTTCTCTGCATAGTGCTGCCGTGCAAGGGGAAAGGCTGCCGACCCGGAGGCTCCACAAGTAGACCTGTGGCCATCTGTCAGAGTTCATCAATATGCTCCCCCATCAGCGAGCCAGCCCAGAGCTCCCCAAGAGCAGCTTGCAGCAGGCCCGATGCTGAAGATGCCGAGGGGGTTAATAAATACTGGATTGGGGCTGCTGAGGTGGGGCTGCCAGTGAGCAGGCACCCACTGTCGGGAGCTGGGCCTTTCGCTCTGAATAAGAAGGGTTAGAGTGAGAACCCCGGGGCTTGCACACCCAAAGGAGACTTAAGCCTGAGCCAGGGGGAACCCGAGATGTCATCGCTGGTGAAGGAAGACTTGGAGAAAAAACTGTTCAAGCCGCTGGCGCAGAATCTCTGCGAGTTTATTGAGATCGAGTTCTCGGTTCAGGACAGGTATTACCTCTGTGTGTCAGGTAAGCAGCGCTTTCTAGTATCGTTTCAAAATGCAAAGAACTCAAAGGTGAATACGGGGTATAGGGAAGCGTTGTCTGTCTTCCTATCCAGCTCAGGCATGCATGGAGCGTCTTGAGAGTTTAAGTAGCCAGGTTAAGGAATGTATATTCTATGGCCTTTTAGAGCACTAAGGAGTACCCCCTCCCAAAAAAATGTATTAGACAACATTAATGGTTCAGAAGTGAAATTGGATCTGTACTTCTCTTGGTTTGATTTTTTTCTCCAATCTCTCACCCAATTTGCCTCACAGCATACAATTTTGTTGTGTAAAGGCTCACTTGAAAAAAATCCAGCAGCATTCTGAATATGATTAAATGCATCACAGAACCCAGCTATATAGTCATTCCCAATGCCTTTCTGTATAGAACAAAAATGGAACCTTAGACTTTTCCTCCAAGGACCTATTGATACTTCCTGGTGGTTAATTTGAAGAAAGAAATCCTCTTTAGAAAGATTCTCTTACAGAAAAACAATACCAATACTTTAATAGTAGATATTAGCTCAAGAAGGCAGAACTTTAGGGAGGAGAGCACAATCCCTAATGTAGAGATCTGACATATAAAGAACTTAGTAAAATAAGTATTTCCTTCCTGTTACCAAAATATAAGAAAATTGTCCGTGCACTGGCTTTTTCATTCATTATGATGTTCCAAACTTTTTATGAATTTACGTAGAATTGTTTGTGTCATTATCTCATTATTGAATTTGGTATGCAGCTCTCTCTTTTCCTGGTCTGAGCCTCTCAGTCCCCTTCGCGGGCTTAGGAGGGAAGAGCTCAGAAACCCTAGGGCTACTTGCAGATGTTCCTCTTTAAGGCAAATGCCCATTTTCATACAGCTCATTACCTCTGTCCTCCTGACCACTATTTCTATAAGAGCGTTCTAAACTGAGAGGAAGCCAAGCATCTTTGGAGAAAGGTCTAAGAATTCTTTAGAAGGTTACAATTTCTAATAAATATAGAAGAAATTATCCAACAACAAGAATAGGAATACTTATTGAATGCCTAAGTTTATTTTACTACACATCTGAAATATGGGGGACTGGCATGTCAACAAATGTAAGAGACTTAATCCGTTCATAAAATCAATTAAGTTATGTAAAAAGAGGAATTAAAATTACATAATAGATCACATTGTGTTCTCATCCACCCAGTCACTGAATCTATTTTTACTCACTATGCTAAAAGAGGATGTCTATTCTAATATAAAATAGAATAATTTTACCTGTTATGATTCTTGCTTTATAAAAGTAGCTTGTCATTGGGTAGCACTGGCAGTATTTTAAAATAAAAAGTTTTAAAATTAGAATAGTCATAGTAAGTTATGAAATCTAATTTGCCAAAAAATATCTTAGGGGCAATTAAACATTTGGGTATTTATTCAGGGATTCTGAAATGAAGCTCCTGTTGAAATGAGGAAGAAATGATTTTGGGATATTCCACCTAAAGTTAACACACACACACACACAAAGCCTTGTTAGTTCCTCACTTTCATAGCTATACTTCATGTCCATCAGCCTGGGAGAGTTTTCCCAAAATGTAACACTTTTTTTAAACAACCATTACAAAAACATTTCAACCAAACAGCAGTTTAAATGATTCTCGACAGTGCCAAGAGTGTGACAATACTTCACCTGGAAAACATCTGTTGACAGGAATCTTGTTGAAGCAGGTGGCTCTACACCTTCAGGGTCACATGACTGTCTCTTCATCCTCTTTAACCCTTTCATTGCCTTTCACCCAGTGGTTCCTGCTTACGAGACCCATTGGTCCAGAGTAGTCATATTCCATTGCGTTTTTTCTGATTAAAGATAATACATTTAACCATGGTTGAACTTCCTTCTTATCTGAGCAGAGTCCATCCTTTGTAGTGGTCCCAAAAGTAGGATTGTTTTCTATTCCATCTTGATGATTCAAAGGCTGACATCAGAATAAGATACCATACACTCAATGTCCCTGTGGGAAGTTAGCTACAAAGTACATCGGGCAGCCCCTGGAACCTCCTTCCTTTGCATCTCAAGCTTTGCATGGTGTCTTCTCCCTGGGGACCAGTTTATCCCATCACACAGCACCACTCTTCCTGGCAGTTCAAAGCCGTGTCTTCCAGTGTAGGGAGGAGCTCTGTTTCCTGCAGGAGCGAGGAAAAAATAAGTCACACATGTAAAGTGAAGAGTTTGAAAACTTGTGTTGTAGCATTAGCCAAAACTGAATAGGAAGTAAAAGGGCATGGTGGGACAGACCTGGAAATTCTTGACACAGATCATATTGGGAAATCTGCCCCTGATTTGTTGCCTATCAACTGTGATGTTGGGCATAAGATAGTGATCCTTCATGGCCTTGTTGCTCGCATCTCTGAAATAGAAATAAAAACAGGGTGGTTGCTCTATGAACTCACAGTGGTTGTGACTGTATGTCTATGTAAAGCTCAAGCTAGATAAAATCCCACCATGGTGCGGGGAGGTGGCTAGGAATCCCTTCCCTAGCTGAGGAACCATTGGCAACCGGCAGGTGCTGGGAGACGGGGAGTCAGTTCCTTTTAAGGGTGTAGCTCTTGGTGGGTTGGCCATGCTCCTGTTGACGACCACATGCCCAAGAGCATATGACAAATTAAACTTAATCGTTTAAAAAAGAGTGGAGGGACTCAAAGTTGAGTGGGTAGGTAAGGTGGGAGATGAATCTGGGAAGAGTTGGATGGGGGTAAATGTGATCAAAATATGTTATATAACATTCTCAAAGAACTCATAAAAGAAACTTAAACACCTCTAAAGTGCTCCCCTACCATTCTCCCTTCTGAATTTTTATTAATGATAGTTTATATTCTAAGCAAGTAAAAGTAGAGCCTTGAAAGAGGTAGCTTAGAGTTTTAAAACATATAGAAAAATATTTAATGGATTGTATATATATAAATATGTTGTAAATACATCTGTATAATAAAAAATAAAATATATAATAAAAACTTGATATACTCTGTTGCTTTTAAAATTATGCATATACTCATGTATAGATTATTTTAACTGTTCTTATACTTTTAGGAAAACATTTTTCAATCATGGTATTTTTTAATAAAAATTACTTAATTGTATTGAACTCGCAAATAAAAACAGCATGCAACTAGTTTAAGGAGCCCGCTCAAATACTTGACTAGTCCTGATCTATGCATTTTTATATTTCTTTCTTTTTTAATTAAAAATTGTTTTCAGTACAATATCTTTTGATCATGTTTTCCTCTACCCCAGCTCCTCCCAGATCCTCTCCAGGTCCCTCCCCACTCAACTTAATGTTCTCTCTCCTCACATTCTCTCTCCCTCCCGTTCTCCTCCCTTCTCCCTCCTTAAAAAAAAAAAATAAGAACAACAAAAAAAATCAAAACAGATAAGCAAAAGACCAACAAGACAAAAAAAAAGTGCCAAAACAAACCAAAAAGCCCACAAAAATACCATTGAGTTCGTTTTGGGTTGGCCTTACTCCTCTTGGGCCTGCCCTGGAGCGTGGTTGTACACCCGTGAGACTCCACTGGATAAAACTGATTTTCCTTTTCCCATCTGGTATCGATTGCAAATAGCTTCTCAGTTAGGAGTGGGACCCCTGTCTGCTTCGCTTCCAACTGCTAGGACCCCATCAAGCTCGAACCTGTGCCTGCTGCCACAGTCTCTGTGAAACTATGCGTCTCGGCGAACTTCAGTACAGTAGGAGCTGCCACTCTGAAGCCGTGGACTTCACGGAGGGTTTTACATTTTTGCCATCAGCCACATTTTTATGATGCACCACGTGTAACGAGCACAAAAACTATAAAGTTTTGAAGACGGGAAACTGCTTAACAACTTTCATTATTAGGGTGAAGCCTCGTAGCTGAGATGACAGGGACGGCCGTGAGGTCTGCCTGCTCAGAGTCAGACGTGAGTTCACTTAATGCCATTTCCGTGACTTCTCCATTTCGTCTTTGTGCAGATGAGATGCTTTACAGGCAAAACGACACTCACGAGAAGTTAAGTGATTAACCTAAGGCTACAGATTCTCATTCTAAACCCAAACTTCCTTCCACATCTCCACACTCTAACTGATCGTAGCTGCCCCTCTTAGCTCTTGTGTGCAGATACTTCAAGAACTTCATCTATGTTGGCTCATTTGTCACTTCGTACAGACAATGAAGTCAGAGTGCAGTTGCCCAAGATCACCAACCCGTAGATGACAAAGGGAGGCTTGAAAGCCAGGTCCATGTGTGCTTGGCCCTTCTACCACGTTGCTTTCGGTGGTAGACTAAGAATATTCTAGCATGGAGCTGATCAAACAAACCTGGGATAAACCTCACTGGCTGGCAGTTTTGCTCCTTTGATTCTTCTGTTTCTACAAAAACCAGCTTCTTTCTTTTCCACGTTTTATATTTCTATAAGTTCACCAATAACGCAAGCCCTAGCTTGTTTAAAGCCAACCATTTTGCTATTTTAAAGACTCATGATGCAGCCTGAAATGGATTTTATAAAGACATTTTTAGAAAATTTTTATTTGAAAATATGATTTTGGTGAAATCAGCCTTAGTCTACTCAACAACCACAGGGCATTAGCAATCGAGTGTGACATTTCACTGAGGCTTTTAAAAGTATTTCATGATAACTTCTTCTGTGATTTAATTTAAACGATGAAAACCATTACATAACACCAGAATACAAAACAAAAGAAGCATCTATTTATTTAATGCATTTCTGGGAGACTTAATTGTGAGTTTCACATTTCCTCGATCTTGACTAATTTTTTTCAAACCAATTGGCCAGTGGCCAGTTCTCTTTCCATTAGCTTCCTAAATGTTGGTGTTCTTTTTTTTTTTTTTAATTAAAGGTGATGGGGATTTCTTAAAGACAAAGCTTCCTTTAAAATTGAAATAGTGATGGTTATAAAAATTGAAATTCTGAAAATATCCACTGGAATGTAAAACCTGGGAAAATGGAATCTTAAATCCAGAACAGGTTTCTTCTACAGCTCCCCAGAACTGTAGATATCACTCCTAAACCGTCGCTATCTCCCCTAAACTATAGTTACAAACCACATCTGTAGATATCATCCCTAAACCACAGTTACAAACCATATCCGTAGATATCACCCCTAAATCACAGTAACAAACCGGATCCTCTGAGTAAGAGAAAACAACTCACTAACATTCACACTTTATAAAACACATTTGTGCTCTTAAGACAATGTGACAAGTTTCCATTTTCCAACTGCATTAATGTGGAGGCAGCCACTTAATTCCAGCTGGCAGCCAAGCCCAAACGCGGAAATCAGGGATTGGGTCAACTCCAGCCTCAGCAGACTCCTTTGGCTCGTGGCTGAAGAGAACTCTTGGAAAGTCCTTAGCACTAAAGTAGGCTGTCATTTTGTCAAATGAAGGAGGCTGAACTCCCTCTGCACCACGCCATCTTGCACAAGCTTAGCTTCCAGGCACGTCCTTGTGTTGTCTGAGTCTCGTACGAAGGGGGAAATGACCATTATCGTAAGAAAATTTGGTCACTGGTAGGGATTATCTTCTTAACATCTTTTCTCCTCTCCCTACCACCAGCTCATCCTTTATGCAAATCATGGCCTCTCCGTTTATCTAATCCCTTCCAGTGGCACCCCGTGTGGACACAGTTTTCAGAATAATGTCCGAACCTATTCCAGTCCTTACAGGAGCTAACGCCTCCCTATCCTTCTTCCTGTCTACCTTCTTGCTTCACGCCAACAATGCCAAATACTTGCCATGACTGAAAAGTGCCAGGTGTTCTGTGCCTTTGCACCCATGCATTGCTAAAATTGCCTTTACCCCTTTCTTCCTTCTAGGAAGTTCTGTTGCCTTTGACAATTTGGGTTCATCCCTCTCTGAGCCTTATTTCCTGCAGTCAGAGAGATGGCCATGCCCCTCCTCTATTGTCCTGGCCATACCCCTCTTCTTTGGCCCTCATCCAACAGGGCCTCATTCACTCACTGCTGACAACACCCTCTGCAGATTTTCTTCTGAAGCTTCCACTCTCTGCAGTGAGAGAGTGCAGAGCAGGAATGGGGCCTTATGGGAATTCATTAATTTTTTTCAATTCCTAGCACTGTGCTGGATTCACAGGGGACATTTAAATATTTATGGGCTTAATGAAGAGGGTGAGTGGCTCCACAGTCAATCAGCAGGCTTTCATAACTTGTAGACGATGCCATGAGATTTGCTCCCTGAAAATCATACTTCCATACGATGTCCAGTTATCTCTCCAAATCTCTTTACCCCTGTCGCCTCTCGGCCCCTCTACTGCTACTGAGACAGCAAGCTGGGGCAATAACAATCCTGATTCGGAGGAGGATCTTCTAACTAGACAAGCACACTGCCTCCTCGTGGAAGCTACAAAACCTTCCCCTTCAGCCCACCGTCCTTGTCTTGTGTGTGCATCTTCCCAAGGCTAACAGGTAGGCCCATGCGCTTGGATCTTCTTTGGAGCCAGAGAAATTTAGAAGTGTTTAAATACAACAACTTCTCACAATGTCAGGAAGATCCCAGAGTCTCTGCTTTCACTGACCCCAAGTTAAGACCTATAATTGATGTCTTATCCAGACATGCCTCTCAATTACTTCCTCTGTCCCCAAATGTGTCATTCCTTCTCCTCAAGTGTGTGGTGTACACCATACCCTTTAACCTCTCCTCCTACCAGCTTTTAAAATCTCACCTGGCCCAGTGTAATGATATTTCATTTGTATTTTAATGAATAAAGCTTGCCTAAAGATCAGAGAGTAAAATCACCCCACTGGTCAGCCTTACAGACCAGGCAGTGGTAACACACACCTTTATTCCCAGTAGCCACACTAGTTGCCATAGAAACCTGGTGGTGCATGCCTTTCATTCCAGTGGTGTACATCTTTAATCCTAGCCCTAGAGAGGAATATAAAATGGGAGGAAACAACTCTCACACACTGTCTCATTCTGAGATTCCTGGAGGCAGGCTTGCCATTTCGGACTGAGGTAGAGGTAAGAGCCAGTGGCTGGCTGTTTGCTTTTCTGACCTTCAGGTTGAACCCCAATTTTTGTCTCTGAGTTGTTATTATTTGTGCTACTGTCCAGGGGCCAGCACACAGCATACGTGGAATCTGTGTTAGTGCATGGAGTCCTTGCATGTTAGTGCAAGCCGCCTTCTCCAGTCACCACATAGAAATAGCCTTCAGGGCAGGAGTCAGTGATCTTCCTCAAGTCAGATTCAGACCCTTGCTTCTCTGTCTCAGCTCAGTGACTCCACAGGAGTGTCTTCAAGCTCTGAGCTATTCTCATTGGCTGATTTCCATGGCATGATGCTGTCGGGCCTGCCTCTTCCTTTCTCCTCCAGCCTCTTAGCTATCATCTTTTTTCTCTCACTTCTTTCCCCTGAAAATGTTGCCTTGAGTCTTACCTTGAAAATCATCCCACAGACACAAGCCTCAAATCATTCCAAGACTATGAAACTTCCATCTCAGTCCCTGCTGAGGTAAGTGGCAGATACTTCACCTGTACATCGCATTTATTCCACCGTCTGGCCCACCCCCACCCCCTTTCCATTTGGATTCACCAACGTTGTTTGGGTCCCACCATGTATCATCAAAACCTCACCTGAGACTTAACTTCAATTTGCCGATTTTTTTTTTACCATCCACACACCATTCTGAGGCTACCAACAACCATGGATGTCTATTGGGTACTTTCCTGAGTCATTTGTGTTCTTCAGTTTTTCCATGAGTCTGTTTTATTCTCGCGACCCCTTCCTCACACCAGTGAGTGACATTTATTCTCTAGAGATTAATGATCTCTTGTAAACCACACTGCAGCGGTGTCAGGATGCCACTCCAGGACATGGCACAGTAGAGCCCACTGAGAGCATTGTCTCTTCCCCCAAGGTCCTTCAGCTCCATGACCTTCTCTGAGGAGTCCTGTGCGTTGTGCTGCCAGAGAAATTCTTGCACAGGACACCGCTTCATTAAATCCTGGCTCACTACTGACTAGGTGTCACTGTAGGAACTTGCACGGAACACCGACACAATGCCCTTGAGCTGGACTTGTCAACTGGCCCCGACTCCCTTCTCTAGGAAGCTGGACTCACTCTGTCAACTCTGGGATCAGCTGGTCACTTCTAGATTCCCCACAACTCCAGAGTGGCTTCTGCCTGTTTTGAAGCCCAAAGCCATTTAAAACATTTTAACAATTTTCCTAAGCTAACTAATCGCATTATCCACCGTATCTTAATTCCAACCAATCTACACAGTCCCCTCTCTTCCTTTCACCTGGTAAGACTGTCCTTTCATTGTCAGGTTCCTCAGACCGTCCCTCTCCCGGAAGTGCCCACATAGCGATCCTCTACTTCAACTCTGGATAGTCTGTTCATGTCTCTCATCTATGACTATGATTATATTCTAATGTATTGTTTTATATCTACATAGCTAGAAAGTCATGTGTCTGTCTCAGTGTGATTTGTGCTACTAAAACAAACGACTCATGACTTAGGAATTCATAAAGAGCAGATTTATTTCTCAGAGTTCAGTGGCAGGTGAGGATTCCAAGACTGAGGAGCTCACATCTGGTGAGAGCTTTCTTGTTACATCATCTGTAGTAAAAGGCAGAGAGAGAAAGAGTGTGAGAGGGAGAACAAGAGAGGAAAAAAGATGTGCAAAGGTCATGCCGAGCATCCTTTCACTTGGAGCATCCTCTGGCAAAAGCTACCCCACCCCTGCCATGGCACCATTGATCCATTCATGAGGGCTCTGACCTCCTGACCTAACCTCTGAAAGGCCTCACCTCTCAACATCACTGCAGTGTACATGAAGTTTCCAGCAACAGAACTTGGAGGACCCATTCAAATCACAGCAGCATGCCAAAGTCTCCCAGAACCAAAGGAATCTTTCCCCAAAACAAATCCCAGTCTCACTCTGAGAAGACACAATCAGCTCACAACTCTCAAGGTGACATTAACCATCCGAAGAGTTTGGGCATTCTCTGCAGCCCCGCAACCACCTCCTTCCAATAACCTAGTACATATGATCCCCGCATAGTCTCCCTTCTTACTGAAATCCTGAGTGTCAGGGCAGAAACCAGGTTTCGTATCTGTCTCCCTATGGCATTTACTCAGCAAACAGCAAATACCCCGTAAATACTGAGTAGTATTTGACTCATTGATGATTTCATAGAACAACTCAATATTCCAATAAGACCAGAGACAAATGATTTCAGGACCAGGAAATTACTATTTTCAGTTTTGTTCATATTAAGTACAGAAGGATTCTCCCATGCCTTTCAAGGTAGAATATTAAAACTGTCTGTGCTGGTGACACACTTGGAACACCAGAGTTGGAGCCACACAGTGACAATCTCAAACATTACCAGGCAAGTCAGTGGGAGCTGCGTCACAGGCACACCTGCATTCAAAGTCTCACAGCAGGTTTAGAAGGAAGTGTCACCATTTTTGCGTGGTCACTCTTCAGTACTGAGTTGTTGTGCAAGCAGAGCCGTTTGCTATTCATACCTTAATTTTTCATAAGGTCACCAACTAAGATTCCGACTTGCTCTGGTGAGCATTTTGTCCTCCACTGTCTGCTTCTGCTCAGTCTTCTATTTTCCGCCTCACCACAAAGCCCAGAGTTCAAAGCACATTGCTCAGTGTTCTGATGGACAATTGTCACAAAATAAAGTTAAAGTCTTGGGCAAATCTGGGGGCATGTTGACAAAAGTCCAGTTACACCAGGACTTGCCTTAGGAGTGTACTTATAATTTGGGTATAAGGCCATTAAATAAAAGGGAGAGAAACAAAAACTGAAATGGGACTTGGAGAATGAAGGTATGAAGTAAGAGTCTGTGTTTTTTTTTTTTTCTGTCCTACAGTGACCAAAACTGACGAAGTGAAGATTATCATGGTGAAGCATTACAGAGTAGGTCTAGATGAAAAGTACGAAGTAACAAAGAAGTGGTCTTTGGATGATCTTCAGATGATTGACGGAAAAGAAGCTGATACCGTAAGCGTTAGCGTTTTTATGAAGGTAGCGCGGGATCGATACACAGCCGATCGTTACGTTCGATGACCTGCTTTATATTCTTGGCATGTACGAAGTGTTAAGATGACATTATATTGTTCTTAAGTGGTATGGATTAATTTCCTGGGATGATCTATACTGGCTTTTATGATTTGCTTTTATGAGTTGGAATCTGACTTTTGTCTATGAAATCTAAAAGCATCTTTCCCAAGCTCTTCTTGACAGTTTAAACACAATCTACCATTCAGTCCTGCAACTTTAAAAGCAACTTTCTCCAACAGATACGTCCACGGCCACCCTCTCTAACCCAGATTAAGTTTTGGGATCCCTTTGTTCTCCCAGTCATAGCGTTTGATGATGCCATCAACTCAGTGACTGTGCCAGTCAAAAATGGTTGAACTTCGTCACTTCCTGAACCATTTTGTACTCCGTTATTACCTTTTGGGTCACATAGAAATAGCACTTTTAAAACTAAGTGTATTTGACAGGACTTTCAATCAAAGAATTGAGATATAGCCGGGCGGTGGTGGCGCACGCCTTTAATCCCAGCACTCTGGAGGCAGAGGCAGGCGGATCTCTGGGAGTTCGAGGCCAGCCCGGTCTACAGGAGCTAGTTCCGGGACAGGCTCCAAAGCTACAGAGAAACCCTGTCTCGCAAAACCAAATATTTAAATAAATAAATAAATAAATAAGCCCATTCCTATTAATCTGCGTATCTCCCACAAGGCTGTGGCTTACTGGTAAAGGTTCTGAGCATCTGTCTTCTTCAGCAACTACATGGCATCTCTTCAACTTCACCTACTTTCTATGTCGCTGTTCAGACTTCCTGCCTGGCTTTACACTACTAAGTCACTAGCTGGAACAGCTTCTTTAATAACCAATGGTAATAAAACATATTCATAACATACAAAGGAGTATCTCACATAAAATAATAATTCCCTGAGTGACAGTGGTACAAATTTCGAGTTATTTTCTTCATTCTACCTTTTGGCACTTACCAGATTTTTATATTGCATTGATTCTGAAGGGAAATCTATAGCCCATATACCAACCTGTGGTTTAGAAATTTGCTATCCTCATTCATTTTATTCCACTTGTCTTTTTCCCCTAGCTCATCCACAAAAATTACTTATATCATAATTATTTCTGCTGAGTTTGGCCAGCACCTGGTGATATAGATGAACCCTGTCAACTTTGATCCGTTTGAAGCAGTTTGCTGTGTTCTATTTCTTCCCTACTTTCCTTGGCCTCTAATTCCTTTGCACAGTTATTGATTCTCCCCTTTCCAACTTGAAGATTATGGTCTTTGAGAGTTAGCCAGATAAAAATGGAAATCTCCTAGCCTCATCTCCAGCTCTGTGGCAAACTAGCAGTTGTGGTCTCTCCTCACTCTCTGCCTCCCTTCCCAGGAGACTAAGCAGACCCTGGTGGAACACTGTGGGTGACCATCTCAGGGACATGAAGGCAGTTCAGTTCATCATGACTTGGTAGCTAGTGTTGGTTCAAACATTGAGATTCTGACACCGAGAAGTTTATTTTAGGCATATTTAAACACACCACAATTTGATAAAAAGTTTCAGGCAATAATTAACTCAATCCCATGTGTACATTAAAGTTTGAGACATGACGCCATTGAAACTGTAAAGTACAGGAGATATCTTTCATAAAGGAAGGTTCTATAGATTGAGAAATTGAGCTCATGATAAGGGTCTGGGATTTGGAGTTTGACTGCTGTATAACAAAAGATAGGCTGCTGTACCAAAGGTGGGACTGTTTTATTCATTTCTCCCACTGTTTATGTTTTTCATAGGTTTCTTTAAGGGATTTATTAATTTCCTCCTTAAGAACTATCATATCAGCCGGGCGGTGGTGGCGCACGCCTTTAATCCCAGCACTCGGGAGGCAGAGGCATGCGGATCTCTGTGAGTTCGAGACCAGCCTGGTCTACAAGAGCTAGTTCCAGGAAAGGCTCCAAAACCACAGAGAAACCCTGTCTCGAAAAAAAAAAAAAAAAAAAAAGAACTATCATATCTATAAAGGCATTTTTCTTATGCTTCAGCCATGCTGCAATACTCAGGACCTTCTGTGATCGGACAGCTGGGCTCTAGTGGAGACATACTGTCCTGGCAATTATCGGGGCATCTAAGGCATTTGTGAAGATTGTAATTCTAGCTGCTGAAATCTGGACTTGTCTTTGTTGGATAGGTATTTTGTTCCCTGATTTCTTTTGCCCTCCTTGGTTCTCAGGAGAATGTGTTGGCTGTATGTTGCCTGGTAGGGAATTCTTCCGGCATCCTGATAGGTGTGGACATTGGGGTTTCCAGGTAAAATGTGTTTTTAAGCATGGAAGTTGACACTTAGGAAAGGGGGTGGGTTACGGAGGGTGGAGGGGGGTCCACAGGAGGGAGGGAAGCAGGTTGTTCTGTAGGAGGTGTGTAGGTCCTGTGCTCACAGGTAAGCACTAGGGGAACCAGGAATTTAAACACACAGGGTTGTCTTTTCAGAGAAAGAAATGTATGACCTGTTTTCTACCTGGTTAATAGCCTGGTGACTTTTGCACTGTCTCTGTGGCCCAAGACCAAATCCTCTCCCAGACCCTTATCATGAGCTCAATTTCTCAATCTATAGAACCTTCCTTTATGAAAGATATCTCCTGTACTTTACAGTTTCAATGGCGTCATGTCTCAAACTTTAATGTACACATGGGATTGAGTTAATTATTGCCTGAAACTTTTTATCAAATTGTGGTGTGTTTAAATATGCCTAAAATAAACTTCTCGGTGTCAGAATCTCAATGTTTGAACCAACACTAGCTACCAAGTCATGATGAACTGAACTGCCTTCATGTCCCTGAGATGGTCACCCACAGTGTTCCACCAGGGTCTGCTTAGTCTCCTGGGAAGGGAGGCAGAGAGTGAGGAGAGACCACAACTGCTAGTTTGCCACAGAGCTGGAGATGAGGCTAGGAGATTGGCTCCAGAGGGGAGGAGGGAGAGTAAAGATCTGATACTTACCTGCCATCCTTGCTGGCTTCCATGCTTTCTGGGCAGGCTTGGCTGGCAGGTTCCCAGAGAAAGCCTGCTGGAGTTGTGGGCTGGGATAACAGATGAGTGAAGAAGGAGGTTGGGGGAGACGGTCTGCAGGATCTGCTGGAGATGGAGGCAGAGAAGTGGGGGAGGCCAAAAGTAGGAGGTCTTCAACAGAGATGGTGTGGGACTGAGGACCGGAACAGGAGTGTAGGGAGTGGTGGAGATCTTAGTTAGGCTACTTGCTCCCCTGACCAGACTGACCTACAGGTTCCCAGGGAATGCCTGCTGGAGTTGGGGGCTGGGAAAAATGAATGAATTGGCAGTGGCATTAGAGTAGAAGATCTGTGTGATCCATTGGAGAGAGGAGAAGGGGGAAGAGAGGCTGCAGCAGATGGTCTGCTGGAGAGCTGGGGATGAGTCTGGTAGATCGGATATAGAGGGTCGGAAAGAACGGTGAAGATCTGCGGTTAGCCTACCTGCTTCTCTGACCAGAGTGGCCTGCAGGTTCCCAGGGAATGCCTGCAGGAGCTGGGGACTGAGATAAAGCAAAGACTGTACTGTTGACTTTCAGGAGGGATTCTGTTTGGCTCTGCTAGCTTTGGAAAGCTGATCTGCAGATTTTAGAAATATGCCTGATACTGAGACTTTACAATCAATAGGCACAGCCAGCAAACCGTGGGGATCCAGGAAATGACTCCGAATGAAAGTAAACCCGGTCTCTCTCTCTCTCTCCCTCTCTTCTAGGACAATCCGTTTTTTGATCTGCACTTCAAGAAAGTGTACAGCCTGGAGGCCTACAGCTGTGCCTCTAAGTACTCCTTTGCTCGAACGGTGAACCGGCTGAACCATGTGTATCTTAAGAAGGACTTGCACATCGTCAACTTCGATTCGACTTACATCAACGATGACTCCATTTGGTCCTCCAACAACAAGGACTGCCTGGTCCTCATGAGAATATGCTTTTATGCTTTCAATCTTGTGTGCTTGTCCCTATGTCCCCTGCCACTTTGAAGATGTAGCCCAAAGTCCTACATCAGTGTCCGAAGAAATGGTTCTCCAACTAAATACCGATAGTCAAAAGTTTGTTTTGCCTCTTCCTCGATGGCTATTATTCAAACTAAAATAAAACAAGGCTTTGTGAATGGCAGTGAAATGGGTTTTAGTGCAACTGTTAGCAGTCGGGACTCTTTGGCTGCATTGTGTTCCATGGTAATTTTCAAAGGTGTTGCATGGCTTGGGCTAAGTTAGAGTCAAGAAAAAACTTTAAAAAAAGATCCTTGGTTCATAAATAATATTTTATCTTTTGAAGGTACCAGTACTGTTCAAAATATTCTTCAGATCCAAGGTAATTCCTCTAAAAATGCCAATCAATGGCCTGTATTGTAGAAAAGCAAAAGCCAATCTTCAAAATTCATACAGAACTGCAAAAGGCTCCAGGTAGCAAAAATAAATAAACAAAACCTTGGAAAATAAGTACAAATTTGAAGGACTCATGCTTTCTGTTTTTGAAACTCACTACAAAGCTATTATAATTAAAACAGCATGGTACTAGAATAAAAATAGTTGTAGAACATAAAGCTACTAGGTTCCTACAAGGAAGAAAGAATAATCTCTTCGAGTGATGAGGCTAAGATAACTGGATATCCACACAAAAGAGCTGAGTCAGACACATAGCTCACACCAGCTATAAAAGTTTAAATGAGTTATTAACCTAAGCATAGTAACTAACCCCATAAATTATTAGAATGAAATATAAAGGTAAATCTTAAGAACTTTGGGATTGACACTGGATTCTTATAATGTCAAAAAAATAACTAAACCATACTTCATGTAAAGATCTCTTTGCACCAAAGGACATTATCAAGACACATTGAAAATAAGCCTTGAAGAAAAAAAATCTTCAAATTATCAGTTTGAAAACGACTTAAAATTCAGACACACAAAGAACTCAGTGACACGAAGCAATCTGTTCTTAAAATGGGCAAAGGATGTTGGCAAGTATTTCTGCAAATGCACATATAGCCAACAAGCATGACAATGATGTCCAGCATCACTAGTCATTAGGCAACTGACTAGACTAGACATTGGGCAAATCAAAACCCAAGTGTCAAGTCAGATCTGCTTTCATCCCCTAGGATGACTATGTCTTTATTAAATGAAAAGGAAAAGAGTTATTGAGGGTGTGGAGCGACTGGCGCCTTCTTCCATTGCTAGTGGGGATGAGATGCTACAGCCATGTAAGAAATGGATTTGACGGTGTGCCGAAGCAGCTTACTCCCACTGCACACCAACTGGCCTCAGGGAGTCATGGTACCAAAGAAAAATACAACCTACTGGGGACTTACTAACAGAAATGTAGGTCTTGGTAGCTAGGACACCATTCACATCCTTGCAATCTGGGTGAGGACAAAGCTGTAATGTACTTTGTTTAATCACACTAATACTACAGTGTCCCTTAAAGAACTGGTGTTGATGGCCTTATCATTCTGGGTTCAGTTGTAAAACACATAACTCTAATGATTTATTTTAACTTTCTGGGAAGCAAGGAGAGAAACTGAGCGGTGCTGTTCAAGGGTAGTCATAGAATGTGCAAATCCGAATGGCTCGTTCCTTACAGGCAGTTCCTAAGAAGAAGCAAAGTTGCCAGATGACTCAGCGAGGGCAGACCCAAGCGATTCCAGTGACTTGAATAAAGTGTTGTATACCGATGTACATACTATTGTGTTGGCTTATAAGGGTATTTACAGCATTCTACATAATACCAAAAGATGAAAACATCACGTGTCCAACAAAAGATTAGTGAATTGACAAAATATGGTATAGTCAAATAATAGAATATTATTCATCCTTGAAAGAGATAAAACTTTTAATGTGCGCTATGACATGGGTAAAATTTGAAAATGTTATGCTAAGTTAAATAATATATAAAAGAAAGGACAGTTATTGCATGATTTGACTTTATGAATTATTTGAAGTAGATACATTCAGAGGCAGAACAGAGGAAGAGATAAGAGACTGGAGGAGAAAAGAGCGAAGGCATTCTCAATTGTTACACAGTTTCTGCGATGGAAATGTTTTAGAAATGGAAATTATTGTGTAACATGGTGAATGTACTTTCTTGTACATTTAAAATAGTTAAAATAGCCGATATAATGTTTATATTGAACATAGGTAAATATTAACTATATAGAATACATCTGAAAAATAAAACCACAGCTAAAAGGAAATTGCAAAGTGGGGAAAACCACAACTTGTGTAAACGTCTGCATATCTGTACTGCTACAGTTGAGGGGTTTAAAAATGGCCAGCAGCCGATTGGAAACTATATGAGCTGACAGTTGACAGGAAAGGAATTGCCAACGACCCCGAAAGCTTGGAAGGATGCTCGACCTTGTCCGGAAGAGAAACTGGAACTGTATCTGTGGATGAGCTCACTTCTTGTCTTAGAGGGAAACCCAAATATTGATAGTATTTCATTGACATAAAAATTAAAAAGTTCTTGGGTTTATTACTGCCTGAGAGAGAAAGTTGACATTTTTTTCAAACTGTGTGTTTGTGTGTGTGTGTGTGCATATGTACTTTTAAATGTGATGATCCCAAAGATGTATCCATGTTGGAGGAGCTACAAAATGACATACGAGCAGGCATGTGTTGGTTGCAAAATTTTTAGATGAGTTCAAGTATCTAATATTGGACGATTAATAAAATAAATTACTGTGTAAAAATGAAACAGGAAACAGGAGAAAATAGGGAAGGCTTCAGCACACCCTGACTGGGGGTAGGAGTAGATAATTAGAAGCAAAGAATCTTATGTGTTTGCTTAGGAATACATATTCGGGTTTTTCAGGTTGGCTCTAAGTTTTAAGGAAGCCATTAATCATTAAACCCTGTCCATTTGGGAGCTCATTACTCTGGGGTTCTTTGGCTGGGTGTCTGGACTACATGCTATACATGTGGGTATCTTCTAGCTGTTTCCTAGCCTTCTAGATCTCTTTATAAGAGAGATATATCTCAAGAAATCCTCAGCTTTATTTTGTTTTCTGGCTCTGTCACACCCCCTTCACTTAATATTTGGGATTTTTTTTCCTGGAGATGTCCCCTTGGGTGCTGCCATTTGCAGGACAGCTCCTATTAGAAAAGAGAAATAGAACACATACTTACACCTTTTCTCTATTCATCAATGTCTAAATATCATCATGATGACAAATTGATTTTTAGTACTGTAAGATCCAAGGGCTTACATGTGACCAAAGACAAGAAGGACAAGCCTAGTTTTCAAGGAAATTTCAAACTTCGGTTCATATCAAGTCCATTAGCAATCCCATTGGTCAAAACAAGCAAGCCCAACCCAAAGTATGAAATGGGGAAGTACACTCCACTTACCAGGGGATCAAACCAAGACTGTGAGCAAACATCTTTGCTTTCTTGGGAAAAATTTGGGTCAGTATATTATTAGTTAACATAATTACTTTCCAGATATTATAGGGTTGAATAAATAATATTTAGCCAACAACAATATTTATAAAATTCTGTACCCCCAAAAATCTTCTTGAAATATCATATGTGCAGCTAGATTAGAGTAAGAAGGAAGGGAACATGACTGTAAACTGCTGCTGTCAGCTTGGGGTAAGAAGGAGAAGTGAAATTATTGTTTGTTGAACACAGAGTTTCAGTTTGGCAAAAATAAGGACAGTTCTGAAGTGAGTGATGGTAACATCACACAATATTATAAATTCTATCACTCTACTTTTTTTTCTTGAGATAGGGTCTCACTCTATATATAGGCCTAGCCTTGAACTCACAGAGGCCTGGCTGCCTCAGTCTACAGAGTGCTGGGATTACAGGTATGTGACTCTGTGCAGAATAGATGTACTTAAAAGCACCACCAAACTCTACCCATAAAGGTGACTAAAATGCAGTCAAGTGTAGTTATGTATGCCTTTAATCCCAGCACTCTGGAGGCAGAGGAAGGGGGATCTCTTTGAGTTCAAGGTCAGCCTCATCTATGTAGTGAGTTAAGGACAGTCAGAGCTTCACAGTAATGATATGACAACAGCTGGCCTCTCTCACACCCTGGCATGTCGTATTGCCGACAATGCCACCATGGCTTGGAATACCTGCACGATTTAGCTTTTCAGTCGCATGCAGTGGTAAGTGGTGAAATAGTGACCAGTAGAGGGGAAGCCAACAGATAACACTTCTCTTTTTTTTTTAATTGTTCAGAATCGTAAGACAAATCTCTAAGATTCTCATAAATTGCCACAAAATCAGAGCTCAGTACGAAGGCCAGAGGGCCTGTACAGCAGAGGAAGCACTCTGCAGACTATGATGAAACCTAGGCCCCGTATTTAAACATTAAAAAAAAAAAAAAACAGAAGTTCAAGAAAATCCAAATGAATCACCTGGGAATATCTTCTACATCAAAGCCAATGCCCTAACAGAAAAGGAATGGGTCTTTGAAATCTAGAATGGGAACACTGTATAGATATCACATTCTTAAACCCTCATTTTTTTTTTTCACCCTCAATGACAACAGTCTCCTTCCTGAGAATGAAGAGCAATCTCCCCGTGTCTGGACATTTTGCAAGGAAATTTTGCAAAGGAAAATTGCTTCATAATATAACTTTATTTCCTTCACATCCCTTCCCCACTGCCTTGACTGTGAGACATTGCAACCCCTGCTCTAGAGAGAACCAGGGCCGAGGTTTCTCACTTTGGACAACTGGGGCATTTGGGGATAGATAGGTCTTTGTTGAGAAGAGCTAGTCTTAGTGTTATACTTGAGTTAGCACCTACTCTGCCGTCTAACCACTAGATGTCAGCAGATCGCTTTCAGTAATAACAACCAAAAGAGTCTCAACATTGTCAAATGTCCCTCAAGGAGTTAAAAAAAAAAAAAAAAAAAAAAGTCATCTGATGTCGAGAACCACTGAACTATGCTAAATCAAAAGATACTTCATAACATGGGCTAGTGTGCACCAATAGGGTCAAGTGGAATGTATGTGAGAATAAATATTGAGAGCTTTAGATCAGAAGAATAAATGCAGTTGTAAGGCTGTACAGAAGAAAGCAGAAGCCATCCGCTAGTTTGCCATTCAAAGTTTCGGCAAGGACCGGTGGAGTAAGTTCTAACAAGCCTTTGTGCTCCCTGACCGGATAATGACCTATGCCAATGAGGTTAAGATGCTTGCATGGGGCTGAATAGGTGCTGAGAGTTAGAAGGAGGGGAAGCAGGGATGTCAGAATGAAGTCACTCCGTGAAGAATGAAGAAGAGTGACCAGACTGTTTCCCAGAAGGAAGGATGTTGTATTGAACGTCACACAAAGTTAGAGTACTCACCACGTGCCCATGTTGCCTGGAAGGGATGTCATAGAAGCTGCCCTAATACCAGACCATTTGCCTCAATAGATCTGAAGCCTTGGGTCTGTGATGGATAAAAGCACTGTGGGAAATCGCCAGAAAACTACAGGAAGACCAGCTACACAGGTCCCTACTCTTCTGCGAGACACGCTTTCTGAAGCAGAGAATCATTCTGTACTGGGAAAGTAAGAGTCGACTATCATGAGCTGGATGTACTATTAGTTCCTCAAACTCACAGGTTCACAGGTTCAGAGCCAATCTGCTGAGGTATGGAAAGGCATAGAATCAAGTTGAGCAGGTTCAGAAAACACATGCAATTTCAATGTGTAGTTCAGACTCCTTCGTAGTTTACTTTCACAACCCTGACATCTCTTCTGCTCTCACTTCTACAGTCACATAGGAGTCCTTTACAGAATCAAATACAGAATAAAGGATTGGATTCTGGCTCACAGATGAGTTGTCACATGACATTATCTGGTTGGTTGTTATTCTCACTCTGGGATAGCTCTTAGGTATATTAATGACCCCTGGGGCATCTTTCCATTCAGTAGAGCTTGTAAAAACACATATTATTATTCATTTTTATATACAGGAAGAAGTGACCTGAAGTCATCTTTTCTCTCCCTAATTCTGCCAATGTTCACAATCTCTAAAACTATAGCATCCCTGATCATCATTACTGCAACCTACAAGTCCCTTTCACAGCACCCTGAGGGTGCAGGCAGAAGTACAAAATCCATGGACACTGCCTGTCTTAGTCAGTGTTCTATTGCTGGGAAGAGACGCCACAAACAGCAACTCCTATCAAGGAAAACATCTAATATGTGCTTGCTTACAGGTTCAGAGGTTTAGCCCACTGTCATCATGGAGGGGAGCACGACGGCATGCAAGCAGACATGGTGCTGGAGAAGGAGCTGAGAGTGCAACACCTGGACTGGCAGGCAGCAGGAAGAGAGAGACCCTGGGCCTGGCTTGAACATTTGAAAGCCTCACGTCCATCCCCCAGTGACAGACTTCTTCAAACACGGCCACACCTCCTAATCCCTGTCAAGCTTTGCCACTCCCCAATGACCAAGCATATGAGCCGAAGAGAGTCATTTCTAGTCAAACCACCACACTGTCATAATTTTATGCTAATAGAATACTGTGGGGCGTTAGAATGACCTCTGTCATTTTCTTAACAAATCCATTCTGGTAGAGTTTGTTATCACAATTGTGAAATTGAGTCCTCACTGTGAACTAGTGCGGGGATAGGATTCATGTTTGAACGGCCTTTTATTTGGAATCAAAGATCCAGGCACTCAACACTTGCCAGGGACTTAGCCTAAATGAATCATTTACAGCCCGAAATCCTGGCATAGTTCACGCCTCTCACACAGAAACAAGCATCATCTTAAAGTGAAGATTCTGGTTCAATTATCCTATGTGAGCCGGGGAGGATACCCAAGAAGTAGGTTTGCATAATCCTGTTAGAATATCAAGTTCTTAAGTGCCATGGTCCTACACCGGAAGAAATGAAGTTTAGAAACCTAATGATGTTTAGGTTCCACTTTCATAGATTCCGACTTGAGTCACAGAAGTGCTCACTCCCAAACTCTGATCCCAAGATCCCAGAGTTAACAGGGTTTAACAAACGCCAAGGAGAAAACATTTGATGAGCTCTCGAATGAATTGACACAAATACCAAAATGAGTACTTGTAGAGAAAAGGAAATACCACCATATCAGCTCCTCCAGTTGCTCTGTTCCAGCGGCTCTGAACCTTCCTAATGCTGAGACCCTTTAATACAGTTCCTTATGTTGTGGAGATTCCCGCCCTTTCCCCAGCCATATATTATTTTCGTTGCTCCTTCATAACTGTAATTTTACTACTGTTACGAATCATAACGTAAATATCTGATGTGCAGGATAGCTGACATGGGACCCTGAAAAAAGGGTCGTTTGGACAGTCACAAATTCAGAACTACCATCCTCTGCGACTACAGGCGCCGCCCCTGCCCTTCAACGCCCACAGCAGGCCGGCCCCGCCCTGTCCCGCCTCTTCCACGTCCATTGGCTGGCACCTTTTCCTCCACAACCTTCACTTCCGTCCCTGCAGGGTCAACTTCCGGTCGGGGCCGTCACGTGAGCGGATACGGGAAGTGGCGGGTTCTGGTCGCTCCTCGTCCCTGCTCAATGAGAAGCGCTTCACAGCGGCTGTCGCGGCCGGCGCCCGTCCAGTGTCGGACTCGGAGCTCCCGCCTCCGCCGGGCGGCCTCGCGGTAAGCTTCTCGCCGGAGACCCGCGGTCCTGGAGGTGGTGGCCTCGTTGGAGGCGCTGTTCGGTCCTCACCGAGTCCGCCGCTCCCTGGTGACCCGGCCCACCTTGCTCCGCTCCGGGGATGCGTCCTGCCCGCTTGCTGTCACCCAGAAGAGGAAACTGCGCAGAGACTGGGCCGTGCATTTAAGAGATTTATAAGGACATGTTGATTTGGGCTTATGGAAGCCATGTCACGTCCTTCTCGCCCAGGCCACGCTAGTTTGGCAAATAAAATAAAATAAAATAAAATCTGTCCCGAATGGGCGGAACAGTGGAGGGAGAGACCGGGCTCTCTCTTCAGGATGACAGCTCTCCCTGTGGAGATGTCTCTGCAGTAGATGGCCCGACCCACGAATGCATTTGCAGACACATAGTGTAATGATGACCCAGCGGAGCCCCACGATGAACAGTGGTTAGCCGCCTCTGTACCATGCAGGCTTGGGGTTTTAGAAAACAAAGGTCTAAAGAGAACCTGGGGTCTGGGCATGGGTTTTAGACTTGGGGAAATAGCTGTCCAGGCCACTGCTAATTTACTTGCTGGCAAACTGAAATGTTCTGTAAACACTGCAAAGTTCATTCATTACTAGCTCCGAAAACGACTGTCACGTAGTTACGTCATCCCCCCATTCATGCCTGTCAGATTCTCCACTATACCCCAGAGTCCTGCCCGGCACTTAACAAATAACAATATTTGTTGAGTTATGTCTTAATTCCAGTATGAGTTGCGACCACCCTCTCCTGTTTTACCGCTTACCATGCTCTGAGTCTTCAGTATGGTGAGCGTTGGCCATTATTAATTGTTCTTTCGACTAATTTTGACTGTTGAAGTAAAACAGGCTACATCAAGAGTTTTTTTGTTACGTACCTAACACAGAAACCTGTATGTGTGTGTATGGACATGTGTGTAAGTATGATTATTTGTCTGTCTGTGTGTGTATGTATGTGTTGTTGAACACTTGGAAAGATTTTTTGACTTTGACAATACTGGTACTGGTTTTCCTGATTTCATTTCCAAACTTGTAGCCTCAAGCTTTTATGATGTACATATATTAACTTACTATATATTTATAGTATTTATTAATAATTTATCATTTGAGTCGTAGACGGAGCAGTTTGTGAGGGTGATTTTGATAATGAGCTCGGTGCTCATTACCCTAAATGTTTTTCAGCTGAGGAAAGATGACAGCCATCAAGCACGCGCTACAGAGAGATATCTTCACACCGAGCGACGAGCGCCTGCTGAGCATCGTGAATGTCTGCAAAGCGGGCAAGAAGAAAAAGAACTGTTTTCTGTGTGCCACAGGTGGGCAGTTAGTGAGCACAGAGGTGTGCTTGGTACTCCTTCAGTCCTGAGGGCCATTCCTTTCTTTAAAAAATGTTTTCATTGTTTCTGTGGCTGGTGAAAATGATTGAAATGACCAGTTCATCTTTGTTTTTATTGAATATGGAGTGGATGTAAGAAAAATTCTACAGCTTGTATCTAAGGTGGGTGACAAGTAGGGGGAACGAGATGACAGCTCTGTTATCCCTGACGTGCTTTTCACCCCGTTCTGCGTTCCAGCAACAGGTGTTTGCTCCCCTGACTCTCATCACGTTCCCCGTGTATAATTTCAAACTATAGAGTATTTAGTTTTGCTTGTCTTTAAACTTTTAATGAATTGAATTATAATTATTTGTGACCCCCCCTTCCATTCAACAGTTTGTTCATGGGAATCTGGTTTTGTTTTGGAGTTTTTTATTGTTTTACTTTCTGAGATAGGCTCTTACTATGTTACGCTGGCTAGCCTAGAATTTGCTGCCTAGACTGGACTGGCCGGAGCTCCAGAGATCCACCTGTCTCAGCAGTCTGCTACCACAGCTGGCTGGCCATAAGTTTGGTTTTTGTTCTTTCACAAGGCTCTGATCCCTTCATAGTCACTGCGGTGGCATATCCCACTGGGTGTGTCCTATTGTCTCCATACCGGTCCTATCGGATGCACAGTCGGTTTCTTTCTAGGCTTTGTGTTTCGACAGCTCGTCTGTGAATGTGCTTGTCTTCTGCTGTATGCTTAGATGTGGGGTCTGCTCTACTATGAATTATTTTAAGAAGGGATTTTCCTTTCCACTACCACAGCAGTGTGGTTCTCTTGTGTTCTCTATGCCTTAATCAACAGTTGTTTCTGACAGACCAATTGTTGCCAGGATGGCAGGAGGGACCTAGTATCTCATTGTGGTTTCAAAATGCACTTTCCTAATTACTGATGCGGTTGAGTATCTTCTCATGAATTTATAGCCATTTACTTTACCTGTGAAGTTTACCACATATGCCCTTTGCTCGTTTTCCTATTGGATTGGTTGTCCTTATATGGTTTTGAATGGTTTTTTAATTATTATTATCTGGATAGATATTGTATAATCTATTACTTGCATAGGAATTTCTGTTATATGGTGGTTCACTTTCTGGTTTGTGGCTTCTCTTTGCATTTTTATGCTTCCTCTTAATGAGATTTATAATTGTCATTAAATAAAATTAATCTGATGCTTTATGGATTCTGCTGCATTATTTTGTAAAGGTTTTGATTCACTCATATCTTAGAGAGTGTGTTGTATTTGTATGTGTCTGTCTGTCTATGTTCATGAGAGTACATGTTGGTATTTCAGGATTTTCTCATATCTCATTTTTGTTTTATTTTGTTCTTTACTCTTTCACTTTAATTTTGGAATCAACTTCTTGTGTGTGTGTGTGTGTGTGTGTGTGTGTGTGTGTGTGTGAATTGTTGTAGTTTATTTCAGTCTGCAGGAGATATTGTCCCACCCATACATACATCTAGAATCAAGTTCTTAAGCTCCAAATCTTGTTGAGGTTTTGATTGGACCTATTGTTTAAACTGTAGGAAACTTGCGTTTTTTTTTTAAGCAATATGTTTATGTTCATGAACATGGTAAGCTTTACTGTTTTCTCTAAAAGTCTTGCATGTGGTCATATTTGTCGTGAGGAATCTTTCCTTAGACCTGTGTACTGTCACCAGGGATAGTGTGAGGTCTGAAGAAAGAAAATGATGGTGTCTTTCTAATACCATTTGGCAGCATACTGTTTGTTTTTAAGATTTTTGCATCCATGTTCATTATATATATGCAGTTTTCTCCTTGCTTCCTTTGACATTTTCACCCCAGTTATTAAATAAATCAGGGCACATGCCTTGTTTTCTCACCAGAATAGTTGTGTTTGAAGTTATTTTTTTTTCCTTAAAACTTGGCAGGAGAAGCAGGTTGAACTGCTGGACTTGTTTGGGGGAGTGTGGGTATGGCAGATTTTTGCTTAGCAAGTGTAGTTTAGTAGGTATGTTTTTCAAATACTCCTTAGGCCAGTGGTTCCCAACCTTCCTGATGCTGCAATCCTTTAATTTATATTAAACCTTGTGTTGTGGTGACCCATCCATAAAATTATTTCATAGCTACTTCCTAACTGTACTTTCGCTGCTGTTATGAATCATAATGTAAATATCTTATGTGCTGGGTATCTGATATGCAGCCTCTGTGAAACGGTCATTCAACCCCCAGGTGAGAACCATTGCTTTAGTCCATTTTGGTATATAAGATTTTTAAGAGTATTTGGGGTTTTGTTTGTTCATTGTTGTTGTTTGGAAAACCACTTACTTTTCAAATGTATCAGAGTTCATTCCAAATCCAAACTCTATTCTGTTGTCAGAGTCATTTTTGAAACTAGAAATTAGAGCATGCTTTTTCTCTCGCCGCAGCCCTCACTGCCGCAGATGGACTGCTTGAGGAGCTGAGCAACCGTCTTTGTGGTGACTTGAGTTCCGTCCACCTTGCATTGCTCTGTGCTGCCTGTATTACTGCTGCTCTTTGTGATGGCATTAGGCTCCTTCCGGCCTCTGCACTCATACATGTCAATCACTAGATTTCCCTCCTACACCCTTTAAAACAGGTCTGGAGCCTCGAGGCTTCTGTCTGCCTTCTACCTCATAGTCTGACGTAGATGCTTCCTTTAGGATTCTGCGAATTCCTCAGTTGACTTATTACAGACTGTTGCACTTATTTCAGTGCAGTTATTTGAGGCAGCCCAAGTCACATCCGCAGTGAGTGGGTGAAGAATGAGGGATGACTGAAGCTGCTAACGGTCGTGTGTTTCGTTCCACAGTGACAACTGAGCGCCCAGTGCAGGTGAAGGTGGTCAAAGTCAAGAAGTCTGACAAGGGCGATTTCTACAAAAGGCAGATTGCTTGGGCCCTTCGCGACCTGGCTGTGGTAGACGCCAAAGATGCCATCAAAGTACGTCTTTCATTGTCCCTGATAACTAAAACTTTATAAGCAGCTTAAAAAGAGGAAATGAGAGCCACCTTGAGCTATACACCATTGTCATGTTACTACAGGGACGCTGAGCACAATGTCACTAAGTGTATATCCTCTCCTTTCACCCCTAGACTTTAAGGGCACAGGGAGAAAGAGTCCACTGTGGAATGTTGTTGCTTGTCCAGTTCTTGCTATACATTATATTGTCTAAGCACTTCAAATCATTCAGTTGATGTGTGTGTGTGTGTGTGTGTGTGTGTGTGTGTGTGCGTGTGTAGTAGTGTGGTGGTGGTAGTAGTAGTAATTGAAGCCAGGCTCTTGGACCTGTGAGACAAGAGTTCTACCACTCAGCCACATCCCCAGCCATGTAAACAATATTTTTAGTTGGTCTTTTTTTTTTTGTCCCCTCAAGAGCAGCTTCCATTCTTAATTTTTAAATAGATTTTATATTAATAATGAATATTGCTAATTGATCAAAATCAATATATTTCTACATTTTTTTGTTCTAGGAAAGTCCCGAATTTGATTTACATTTTGAAAAGATCTATAAGTGGGTTGCCAGCAGCACTGCTGAAAAGAATGCGTTCATCTCGTGCATTTGGAAACTGAATCAGCGCTATCTCCGCAAGAAAATCGATTTCGTCAATGTTAGCTCACAGCTTTTGGAAGGTAAAGTTTTTATGCATAGTCAAGTATATCCTTAAATGAATGTATAATCTGATGTTATTTCAAGGAATTAGGATACTGAATTTACTTCATGATATGTCATTAAAAATGTCTTGTTGAAGACATTGTGTGTGTGCAGTTATAGGATATTGATATATTAAATTTAAAAAGCAAATTCACTCATAAACCTGGGCTTGGTGATACAGCCCAGTAATCCCAGCTACTTGGGAGGTTAAGGCAGCAGGATTATAGATTCAAGACCTGCCTCAACTCCAGAGTGAGGCTATTGGGCAGCTTAGTGAGACCCTGTCTGAAAATAAATACTGATGGCTAGAGATACAGCTCATTGGTAGCATGTGCTGGGACACTGGATTCAATCTCAATACTTAAAAAATGTTCACTTAAAAATATATTCCTTGGAGATAACTACTGTTAAAATTTTGGTATATATTCTTCTAGACTTTTTTCTCTAAATACTTAATTTTCTTTAAATAGCAAAATTTACACTTGTGTTTCATAACATTTTTTTCATACAATGAATTCAGTCCAAACATTTACTATATTACTAAATACTTACTCCAGACTTTTGTTTATTAAGGTTCCTGCCCTTTCTTATTTTAAACAGCTGCGGGGTAAATGCCCCCACAGCAGTACGTTCATGGCTAGCAGTAGATGTAATAACTAACACGGTTCTGGCATTGCACTGCCCCAGCTTAAATTCTCTATTAAAATAGAGATGATGATGATAGTATCTACCTATGGTTATTGTAGATATTACAGGTGTATAGCAAATGTTCAATAAACTTCCTTTCATCTTAGCAACACAGAATCCTTAGACAAGAGGTCGATGAGGTATTTGTCATTCATCTGCCTTTGCAAATGTTCCTGTGGGCTGTTCTGGGTCTCAGGACAACCTCTGCTCTGAAGTATTAAAATGTGCAGTGAGATTTCATTCTCTGCAAGTTTCTTTCCTAAGGGTGTAAGCCTTGTATGGAAATGGTTCTTAATTCCCCTTGGATGCAGTTTGTACGGTACTCTTTATCCCGAAGAAAACTGCTGTTTTATTGTTTTGAGACAGAATCCTGCTATGAAACCCAGGCTAGCTTGGAATTCACTACACAGTGAATTCCAGGCTGACTTTGAACTCATGGCAGTCCTCCTGTCTCACCTTCCTCATGAAAGCTTTATTCATGTGTTTGTTGGAAGGAGAACGTGTATCTTGTGACACCTGTGTGGAGGGCAGAGGACGGTGTTGTAGAGTTCTCCCTTCCATGTGTATGAATTCAGGTCACCAGGCAAGCATCTAAAACTGCCAAACCACTCTCTGGCCCAGTACTCAGTAATTTAAGATACAGTTTGAAGCAAGCCATTTATCTAGCCACTTGCTTCTTTTGTTTTATTTAGATCTGTTTTTATTTGCCTGTGGACCTTTCTCCTTTCAAGTAGATTTTTCTTTCCCAGCAATTTTACTCTCAAGCGTGGTGCTTGGAACTGGCAAATACTCCTGTCTGTCAGATCCTAAGAAACCACTGAGACACTGGCCTAGGTTAGGAACATCAAGGGGCTGCCATGTCACCAGGGTCTGACTGCAGGGTGTGTTGAAGAAATGACTCCCTAGGATTTTATAATATTTATTGCATTCAGTTACAGATTCATTTGCTTTGAATGACTTTAGGAGTTTTGTTTGTTTTGCCAATTGAGGCAAGAATATTCTGATGATTGAGCCATTCATTGAAAAGCTTGTCATTCTGTTTTCAAATATGTGTTTCTAGATGTTATTTATTCCTAATATATATTTTAAAGTGATATGTTTTATTAGTAAATGTCTCCTCACTTGAGGAGCTAAATAATCATCCAAGTAAGTTGATACTGTTGTAACTGTTCATGCAGCAGCGGCAGCAACTTTTGTAGCTTTTAATAAATGGCAATTGAACGTTGGGGTTTTCGAGACAGAGAGGGAAGTTTTTTTTTTTTTTTTGTCTTTTCTTTTTTGTGCTTTGACTTTCATCTAGGTTTTTAAATAATCTCCCACTTGACCTTTGAATGGCTGCCTGCACTGCTGTCTCCTGTGTTTGTTTCTTGCCTCAGTCTTATTCTCTGAAACAGTGTTTCGTGACTAATCCTTTGTGGGGGAGTGTCCTGGCAAAGCTTGGGCCTTGAGTGAAAGTAACCACACTACATGCATGAGTCACAGCTGACCTAAAAACACTGCCCAGGAGATGATTTCCTCTCCCAGTTCTCTTCTTCAAGGACGAGTCAGAACTGTTTCCCAAAGACAGAGGATACGGAAAGACACTTAGACAGCGAGTATGACAAATGAGCAAGAGGTTAAGCTTCTTAGGATCTGTCCACTGGTTGATTTTGATGCTGCCCTGAGAACTTGTTGAGTGTGAAATCAAATGAGATATGGGTAGTAGTTAAAAGTTTTAAATCTGTATACTTTTCTACCCAGCTAATATTCTTTGCTTACTTTCCTCTGCTTCTCTCGTACCTTTTACTCTCCAGAACTGCCTAAAGTTACAGAAGGTGCGTAACACCTGTTCTTACTCTATTCCATGTGTATGTATTACTTACCACTGTTGTATGCTAATGGTTGCATATTTTGTGGAGTGTGTACAAGGATAAATTTATTACAAAACCCGCAGAGAAATAAAAGTAATAGTACTATTGCTTATTAGCTTCCAAAGCACTGACTCAGGAGGAGGAAATGCTGCTAGAGCAGCTTTGTTTATTTTTCACGTTAGTGTGAGGCACTGTACTGGGTGATTTAGGGAGTCTCAGCCCTCTAGTGCTTAATATGGAGTCACATCTGATAGTTCTGCATTTGCACAGTGAGCTAAATGGCCTCATTGAAAAGACAAGGAACATGGCAATGCCTCTCTAGAAACATTTCTGTACTGTAATCTGTAAATTGCATGTACCAGAAATTTTAACACCCCCCCATATATAACTAAATCCGCCTAACATACTGTCTTCTTCAGAGTCAATACTTATCTCACTTGGATTTAGTGTATTTTGTTCTGAGACAAATAAAGTATTTCAAGCCATGCTGAATGAAAGTATTCATTTTCATGTAAAATAACAAACACTAATAGCATCCAGACGTTGTGATTTAATTCCTGTCTTAATCAGACTAGAAAATCGGTGGCTTTCTGTAAAGCTATAGTTAGGGTTAACAGTGATTGTTTATTTTACCTCTATCAAACTTTGTACAAGATGCTCACACACTCAGTGTCTTCCTTTCCCCAAAGTGAATCTAGGTGTTGATCTAGAAAGCACTTCAGATTTGACCTCTCGGTACTTGTTCGGAAGCATGGGAACTGTGCAGTGTTGTGATTTCAGGTCACCACTTCATGTTCCCTCACTGGAATTAGTAAGAAAATTTCTGTAGTCTATCCTTAGCTGTTTCATCTAGGCATGCGAAGTTTTTAAACAATAGCAACAAATAGAAAGTGCAGTCAGTATTTTCAATATTTGCTATTTTTTGTGGATAATACACATGCCTCTCACTTCAATGAAAAGTTATTTCAAAGGTGTGTGTGTGAGAGAGAGAGAGACAGAGAGAGAGGGAGATGAAAATAGCAAAAACAAAGGGAAATGCTACCCAGAAAGAAAGGAAGGAACTGTTCTTTCACAATTCACCATGCTCACAGTTCATCACCGCTGTTTTGTTAGAGCAGCAGCCGTCTCTGGTGGGGAGCAGGGATCAGGGTCATTCCTCATGCCGTCCATCTTAGTGGAATTATGTTTTGAGAGATTTTACCACTTGTAGATCTGTGAGCATACTAGACTGCATGCTTTCTGATGCTCTTAGTACCTCACTTCAGTAACATTGTGATTCTGTATGAAAATAAGGTTGGAGACCTTTTTCATGTATTCTAAATCATTCTTTTCTATTCTTCAACCACTAAGTGTGGCCTGTGCTTATAATCAGTCTTAACTATCTATCTCTTTTAAGTACAGTAACAGTTCTTCCTGTTTTCTGACGACTTGCTTTCATTACATTTTTACCTTCTTTAAGAATCTGTTCCAAGCGGGGAGAATCAGAGTGTAACAGGAGGGGATGAAGAAGCCGTGGATGAGTACCAGGAGTTAAATGCAAGAGAAGAGCAGGACATTGAAATAATGATGGAAGGCTGCGAGTGTGCAATCTCTAATGCTGAAGCCTTTGCAGAGAAGTTGTCCAGGGAGCTGCAAGTGCTCGATGGGGTAAGAATGCCTCATGCTGGGAGTGAGTGGTGCATGGTGGGTTGCAAAACTGGTGGCACTGTGTTTTCTGCCTCGCCATTTCAGCTTTCACAGGGAGAATGCTGTTGTATTTGTAAGCTTATTGCCAGCTGTCACCAAGCTCTATTCTTTTTGTTCAGAAGATAGAGCCAGGTAGTGAGGAGATGGTTCAGTAGCTAAAGCGCTTGGCACTCAAGCTTGAGGACCAGAGTTCAGATCCCCAGAACCCAAGTAAATACTTGGTGGGCATAGTAGCTCTTCTATAGTCCCAACTATTGTGAGTCAGAGATAGGGGGTCCCGGGGGAAAGCTGACTAGACATTCGGGGAGCTTTGGGTTCAGGTGAGAGACCCTGTCTTAATAATAAGAGGAAAAAGCCGGGCGGTGGTGGCGCACGCCTCTAATCCCAGCACTCTGGAGGCAGAGACAGGCGGATCTCTGGGAGTTCGAGGCCAGCCTGGTCTACAAGAGCTAGTTCCGGGACGGGCACCAAAGCTACGGAGAAACCCTGTCTCGAAAACAACAAAAACAAAAACAAAAACAAAAAAAAAAAAAAAAAGAGGAAGAGCTATTAAGGATGACATCCTCCATTTGGGGTTCACGCTCACACATATACCTGCAGATGTGTGTATACGCATGTACGCACATGATAAAAACCATTTCCAGTGAAGACATTTGATTAAGGTTTTAGATTTTGGAATGTCCTTAATATACAATGGGAGATGAAGAAAAGTAGACAACCAGGTACCATCTGAGGGATTAATTTCCCTAGCCTCTGAATAACATTGCCAAAGAAGAACATTTTCATTGTTTGTAAAACAAAAATACCAATAAGTATAAATTAGAATAAGTGAATCATTTAGCAAGTGAGCTGAGTCAGTGTGGTAAGAAGGATCTGGAGCTTGCCACTAAAGGGCTTTAGAGCACAGCCCTCTGATTTCCCTGCACAGTTTCTGAGACACAGTCTCAAACCTTAGTACAGAGACAAGTAAGCCTTCACAAAGCACTGTGAGAAAGGGAAGTGGGAGCTAGTTGACCAGATGCAAAGAGACCTGGCAGTGTTTCCCCCTTGTGCTTCCTTTGCACGTTTAAACAAGATGCACCTTTGTGTTTTCTTTTCTCTTTGTAGGCTAACATTCAGTCAATCATGGCCTCTGAAAAGCAGGTGAATACCCTGATGCAGTTGCTGGATGAGGCCCTAAAGGAGGTGGATCAGATTGAGCTGAAACTGAGCAGTTACGAGGAAATGCTCCAAAGTGTGAAAGAGCAAATGGACCAGATCTCTGAAAGCAACCACCTGATTCATCTCAGCAACACAAATAACGTGAAGCTCCTGTCCGAGATAGAGTTCCTCGTGGTGAGCATCTCATAGATTACCCACAGAGCACAACCAGGAAGTCATGATCATGTGTAAAACTCACTTATAAACCTGTGGGATCAGGATTTAAAGATGGTCCAGACTGGGTGGTAGGGCTCAATAGCACCCTGCCTGTATTTTCCCCACAATTACATGTGCAAGTGGTGTGTTTGAATGTATTCCAGAACCATATGGACTTGGCCAAAGGTCACATAAAGGCCCTTCAGGAAGGGGATCTTGCTTCTTCCCGAGGCATTGAGGCCTGCACCAACGCTGCTGATGCCCTTCTGCAGTGCATGAATGTCGCTCTTCGGCCAGGTATGTTCAGTAGCCGTAATAAGATCTGATCAAGAGCTGAGACCAGCACTGGAACTTGAAGAAAATGCTTTGACTTGGTAGAAATAATTTCGGCTAAGTGATTAAGGATTAATTTACTAGCTGTGCAAATTAGTTTCACAGATTCCACAACGAATTTATTTCTATTAATACTAAGAACATTTTCATTTCAGTTCCTCCTAATTGAACATCATTGTCTCTAATATCTTTACCTTTACAAATTTAGTGTGTGACTGTCTAGTTTTTATTTTGTTCAGTTTTGGGTTAATATCTCACTAAATAGCCAAGGCTGGTCTCAAGCCCATAATCACCCTGCTTCCCAAGTGCTGAGAGTACAGGCACGCACTGCCATGCGGCGCTCTCACTATAATCCTGCTTAAAATGTACTTGTATTATTGTTGTATGTGTGCAGGATGTGTACAAATGTAGCATATTGAGGCCAGACATCTTTGTAGATTCACTTCTCTTCTTCCACCTTTACGTGTGTTCTGGGGATTGACCTCAGCTCATCTGGTTTGTGTGGCCAAGCACCTTTACCTGAGGACTCACCTCGCTGCTCTACCATGATCTTTAGATCTTTCTTATTAAAAGCAAGCACAAGTACCGTTAAGATATGCCAGAGAGGATACGGTTTTCCTAGGCAATGTTTCTAAAACATGAATGTGTATTCAGATCAGCTAGAGGACTTAATAAACATTACCAGGCATAGCCCCCCATTTGTTGGTCAAGCTGAAGTCCTGAAATTCATATTTCTAGTGGTTGCCAGATGATACCAAAGAAGAAACAGTGTGTTGTATTATTTTTTTCCTCAAATTTTATAAAGCAAATAAAAAAAGCCATTAAAGATTTAGATTCTTCAAGACTTAAGTGTGGGTGTCATTAGAATAATACAGATTTGAGCTGCAGCTCAGTGGGAGACTATTTGCCTAACATGCACAGGGCTCTTCTTGGTACTCGGGGAGTTGTGGGGGAGAAAATTCACTAAGCATGCAGGGAAGGCCAGCACGTGCTAGATAGTCCACGAAGAAGAGATGTTTGCTGCACAATTTGGTGACCTGAGATGGCTCACTGGAACTCATGTAAAGGTAAGGCTGAGGATGGGCTCCACAAGCTTGTCCTCTGACCTCCATGCACACTGGCATGGCATTTCTCAGTAAACATGGAGAGACTCTTCGCCCTACTGAGTCAGTGAGGGACTGTTGTTCTGATGCAGGCCACGACATGCTCCTGGCCGTCAAGCAGCAGCAGCAGCGCTTCAGTGACTTGAGGGAGCATTTTGCCCGAAGACTGGCCAGTCATCTCAACAATGTTTTTGTTCAACAGGTAATTTTAATTTACTATGAACTAACATGTTTCCATAGGTCATTTATATGTTGCCCTAAACCGAAATTTCCATAAAAATTTTTAATGTGTTCATTTGGGGCTATAATATATTCCTTTATACATTTCAATGATTGTAAGATTCTAAAATCTGCCTAGTTCCTCATAGAAGTACTTTGGACTACAGGTAACCCTTTACACAGATAGCAAGTTCCTGAAACTGGCTCTAGGAATCAGATAGATAACGGCTTTCATTAGTTACATATGCAATGGCAGGTCTGTGTTGCTGTTGAGCCTCTTGTATTTTTTGGTGTTTACAGGTGAGAATCAATTCTGACATTATTTTCAATGTGTCATAGTTCTGTGTGGTTGAACACATTGTGTACAAGTAGGAAACTAGAGCAACTGTGAATTTTGGTTGATTCAGTCTCCATGTTACAAACTGCATCTTTTTTAATGGAAAAAGGTTTTATAATTAATGACATGGCAACAATAGTTTAATAATGCCAAGGGCACCTTATATAGGGATTTGAGCAGAAGGTATTTTAATAGTTAACATACTTAGGTTCTTGTGGGGTTCTTTTGTCTTTTACTTTATTAGACATACTGAACAGAAAAAATAAGGAGAAATCTTAATAATCAGTGCATTCTCTCTGGAAACATTGGCTTCTCTTTGCAGTATTCTAAAACAATTGTCTTATTATATTTTATTCCCGACTAGTTTACTCAGGCCCTCCTTCAGCTCTATAGCAGGTCCTACTTTCTTTCGGTTCCTGTGAGTACATCAAACTGGCTCAAGCATCTCTGACTTTTTTTCATAAATATATATAAATTTTGCTAAAGTTAGCAGCAGAATTTTATGCTTACAGCTTAACTTACTGATTTAAGCTACCCATTAACTATATTTGTAATAGTTTTAAAATATCCCATTTTGCCAAAAAGGCATTAACCTTATTCTGCTTGCCTTTCTCCATTTCTCTCATTTCCTTGATTTTTTAGTAATTGCTTGGTGGTTGAGGTGCATATTAGACTTTGCATTGGGATCTTTGGAATAAATGCTTCTCATTCTCTCTGTGAGAAGCTCAAAGTCTAGGGACAGACAGACACTTGGGATTGGCAGCTGTGATGGTGGTGCTATGCAAACATCGACAAAGACCACCTTATTAAGCCTGGGAGGGGAAGTCAGGGCAGACTCGCATTTCACTGGGCCTGCAAAATATCAAGAAGGAATCAACTGAAACTCACATAGGAAACTCCTATTTTTCTTAGTTTATTATTTTCAATGCTCTTGACAGTGATGTTATCCACATGTGTAGATGGCATCAAAAAAGACAGTCAGCAAACAGTGGTCTTTTTGCATCCTTAACTATTGACTGTAATATGCGGTTACTCATTCTGTGTGGTGCTTCTTTGCCTTGTAAACTAATGGCTTTTGTTTAAAGTGAATGCTTCCCATTTCTGAAAATCTAATATGTACTGTTAACATGTGAGTGATGCATGATAAAAAAAAAAAAAAACAGTGTTGCAACAGCCTGTGATGTGTTGCCAAAGGTGGGAAAGGATGTCTCAAGTGCAAGAAAGAGATTGTCTCTGTGTTAAACTTAGTCATCAGGATGCTGGGAAGGGGCTAAAGAACATGGAGATTTCCATCCAGGACAAGGCGACAGGAGAGCCGGGAGCTTTTGACTAGTGTGTGATGATGCACCTCTGCCACTTCCCGTTTAGTTGCCTCATTTAATAGAGATAATAAAAGTATCTGCCTCACTTAGACCAGTGTTTGGCTCTAGTAAGGTGCACCATGTTACCTTTAATTAAAAATTCTAGTATCTAGCTGGATGTGGTGGTGCACACCTTTAATCCCAGCACTTGGGAAGTAGAGGCAGGCAAATATCTGAGTTTGAGGCCAGTCTGGTCTATATAGATAGTTCCAGGCTAGTCAAGACTGCATAGTGAGACCATGTTTCGAAAACAAAAATTACATATATATATTTACTGGTAAAATTTTGTAGCTCACCAAGTTTTGTTTTTGATTGTTTGTTTGTTTGTTTGTTTTCGAGACAGGGTTTCTCTGTAGCTTTGGAGCCTGTCCTGGAACTAGATCTTGTAAACCAGGTTGGCCTCAAACTCACAGAGATCCACCTGCTTCTGCCTCCCAAGTGCTGGGATTAAAGGTGTGTGCCACCACCACCCAGCTACTCACCAAGCTTTTATAATGTTTCTTAATTTGAATACCCTGTGAATTATGTTAATCACAGAGTTGCCATTTTATTAGATGAGAACTACATTAAAAGATTAGTGTAAGAATTCAAATTTATATATAAAAACTACCTAAGCAGTGAGCATTCAGTAATCCTGTAATTGTTGGTAATCTATGACTATGTATAAGAGAAACTTTAAAAATTAACGTTTTTAAGTATATGAAGGACAAATTTCTTTATACTTAGTGTTTTGCATGTGATAATTTTATGTTAAGCAACTCAAACAATTTTACAATTACCTGTTATTCTGGAATTATTTATCCAAATGTAAATCTTTTAATAACAGTCTATCTTGACAGTAATAATTAAAGGATTGATAGTCGGTATGTGAAATGCCAGTTTCCCAAGTGTTTGTGACATGGAAATGCTGGGGAAATTAGCATAGTGACATATGCAAAGAGCTTTGTAAACGGCAAGGCACAATTGTTGATGATTAATTCTTCCACTCTCCAGAAGAGACTTTTAATGATTTAAAAGCTTTCTCAACCTGAAATAATATAACTTAATATGTAATAAACTGAGTAAATAGAAATTTGTAGAAAACATCATTTTGTGTCTTGAGTCATTGGGAAAAGTTAATGAAGAAGAATGTTTTGTGCAATGAAAGCAAATGTGACGTTGCTCGGTAACAGTGTTTGGAACGTTTGTCAAGTAGGACACCCGCTTCTCCATCAGCACAGTAGGTAAGAGATCCAGAGAGACACTGCTGAACCTGGAGGTGTAGCATCTATGGTACCTTTGTTTTCTGTGTGCAGTTCTGTAGAGATGTTCTGTAATGTAACGGTATATTAACCTTGAAAACCGGACATTGGTCTGGGAACAGACCAATGACATACATAATAAAGCGTGTAAATTAGAAGTGACAAATCCTTCAAATTGAAATAATTTTAATTCTTTTAGCTCAGGGTGCTTATCAAACCATTGTATTTTAACTAGTAGTACATTTAGGTGATTTTACGAAGTTAATCATCCAACTCCTTTACTTGATTCAGCAGCTTTTGTAAATTTAATGATTTCTGTAAAATACTGATAGTCTGTGAGTAGGCAACTGAAATGAATGGAGATGACTTCAAGTAAATGTGGCTTGTGTTGGTCTTTGCTTGCTTGCTGGAAAATTCTATTTCAAGGACAATCTAGTCTTGCAACTTCCTCATCTTTTTGGCATTGGCTTTCCTCTCCATCACAGATGTTGACTGAATAGCAAGAAAGAGCTAAGTTGTCCAATAAAAGGCTGAGGTGTTTCACTTATAGAGAGATGCTCAGTCATCTCTATACACAGCTACACAGCAGTTGCAGCTTTTGATTCTGGCTAAATGTTTTTGTTTGAATGTTTTCAAAGGAAGACAGAAGTTAGACATGGTTACAAAGATTCCAGTTATGGCTTTCACCCTATGTGACCTGAGCAAGTTACTTAATACCCTGAACCTTGGGTTCTTCTAGAAAATAGGGTTAGTAAGCCAATAATCTAGCAGTCTGTATTTTTCTAAAGCAAAAGTCAAGACACATGATCTGTTTATTACTAATTTATTAACATAAATTGTCAAGGCTTAAAATAGTCATATGTGGTTGTTTGACTTACACATCACTTTAATGGAAAAATTGGAATTAACATTGTTATTAGGGATTATCATGGAAAGACTAAGATATAACCATCTATAGTCCTTATTAACTTTAAAATTTCATATCTTACATTTTTATCTGTTGGAAAAAATAGAGCTTCTGGTAGGAATCGCATTAAGAAAAGTGGACAGTTTGTTTTAGATGACTTCCTTTGGTGTGTTTCTTAATACAGTCTGTATCAAGAAGTTCATTTCTTAATATACTGTAAAGTGATGGAGAGAGGCAAGCTTTACTCAGCTCTCTCAACTCTTTAGAAAGATGGAGTGAGTGCCACCCAGGCATGCTCGTGAGTATTAATGGTGGTAGTTTTCCGTGAATACACACGATGGTAAAAGTCGACAAGTAAGTGCATGGTTTTTATTTTTCTGATTTGCTTGGTATTACTTGACTACATTTGGTTATTATCTCAAATTTTCTATTGTAACAGTGTTCTCTTGAACTTTCCATCATATTAATTACTTATTTACTCCCTCTAGGGTCATGATCAGAGTTCAACTCTTGCTCAGCATTCTGCTGAACTGACTCTGCCCAATCATCATCCATTTCATAGAGACTTGCTCCGATATGCCAAGCTGATGGAGTGGCTAAAGAGTACAGATTATGGAAAATATGAAGGACTAACAAAGGTATGGATTTGATGTCAGTTACTCACTGGGTCTACAGTATAGTCTTAGATTGTATTTTAAACTCCTTAACATAAAACTGAAGTATGTTTTTAACAGAGCAAAAGATAGTTGGACTTCTGAGTGCTCAGTTATTTACTTGGATTAAAGGAACCAGGCATGTACATGATGCACAGACATGAATACAGGAAAAAATACACTTAAATGAATACATCTATTTTTAATTTTTTAAAAAGTATCTGTTAAAAAAAAAAGTATGTTTATTGTAGTAAGGAGATTGCTTGTTTGTTTCCCGGTTGCCCAAACTCCCGAAATAACCACACAAAAACTATATTAATTAAATCACTGCTTGGCCATTAGCTCTAGCTTCTTATTGGCTAGCTCTTACATATTAATTTAACCCATTTCTATTAATCTGTGTATCACCACGTGGCCGTGGTTTACCAGGTAAAGTTCCGCCTGGTGTCTATCTCTGGCAGGGCTATATGACTTCTCTCTGACTCCACCTACTTTCTCCCAGCATTCAGTTTAGTTTTCCCCGCCTAGCTCTACTCTACCCTATCAGTCCAAGCCAGTTTTTTTTATTAATTAACTAATCATATTCACAGCATACAGAGGGGAATCCCACATTACCTCCCCTTTTCTGTTTAAATAAAAAAGGAAGATTTTAACTTTAACATAGTAAAATTACATATAACAAAATAGGTATCAAGCAAAAATTACAGTTACAATATTTATATCTACTTTGTCTTTTATCATAACTAAGGAAAACTATAATTATAACTATAAATTCTTTGACTCCATCAAAGACTCCAGAAGGATATAATATTATCTAAGTAAGGAAGTGCTTTGTAAAAAACTTCCAAAACTCTAGAAATGACAGACATCTTATTGCCTGGACAGTCACCCAAAGTTATTTTGTACCGTTGGGGCATCCATCTTTAGCCTACTGGCCCATAGTATCTGGCAGACTTTACCATGAAGCAGGAAATTTCAAAGACAGTTCCACCTATATTGGCAGTTTGTCAGTCACTTTCTTCTGTATCCTGCAGAATGTCTGGCAGATTCTTTCATGAAACAGGAAACCTGAAAGACAGTCTCACCTTTAGGCAAGTTCAGCAGTCATTTCTCTATGAGTCCTGCATGTCCAGTCCATACAGTATACCATCAAGCAGTCCAAGCAAGAGCAGTTTTTTGCCCAAATGGCTAAACAGCTCCATAAGGAACCTTTTCGATGCCCAGCTTCCTCTTGAAATAGGTTGGTACAGCTAGGAACAGATGTGTCTCATTGTCATGAAAAGTCTTAAGTTAATAATTTAAACATTTTAAGTGCCATATTCTGAAGGTCTCTGAAAGATTTGGAGAATACCGATCTAACTGAACTATATTTTTATATATCTAGAAACCTAACTAACATAACTAGAAGCTTGACTATTATAGATGACTCTTTATTAACCTGTATTTCTTAATTATACATTACTTTTTTTTTTTTTTTTTTTTTTGGATTTTCGAGACAGGGTTTCTCCATAGCTTTTGGTTCCTGTCCTGGAACTAGCTCTTGTAGACCAGGCTGGCCTCGAACTCACAGAGATCCGCCTGCCTCTGCCTCCCGAGTGCTGGGATTAAAGGCATGTGCCACCACCGCCCAGCTTATATACATTACATTTTTAAATGAGCTTCACAGATACAATGTCATAATCAAGAGCAGAAATATACATAAAACAAAACGGATCTTAAACTATATCAATAGATCAAGATCCCTACTAATGCAAAGTATTTATATCCAGCTTTAAATGTAAACAAACATTTATAAGCAATATTTGGGAATTTAGTTGTGGTTCTCTCCAGACTGCTTCCTGCTATTTGTTGAATGAAGTAATTTTGGAGGGTGTTTATGGCAACCTTTCAGGGGATCTTGGTCCATCAAACTGCATTAGTCTGGAAGGATTTCACAGGTCCTCATCCTCTGTGGAAACGAAAGAACTACTTTTCCAAAGCAACAAATCCTTAGACCCATATTTTGAAGACAAGATACCTTTGAAGTATATATGTTGGTTACTTAGCTCCTTTACAGTCAAAAAAATTCAAAGAAAACACAATAATATACATAATCTAGACTCTGTTCATATTTCATCTTTACATGGCATATTTGTTTTTACTCTATTACTTTTCTGTACTCTGTCTCTTTAAAGACTGTTTTTTTTAAACCATTCATTTCTTTTTATAACTCTTCATACTCTTTCTTCTCTCTCCCATGCCTGTGTACATTTATCTAACACTGTGACCCATTTAGAGGTCCTTTTTTTTTAAATCTGGATTTGTCTTTATTGCGTATCTGTAATCCACTCATCAGTAGGTGTGAGGCTCTAGTTAGGCACCAGCTGTCCAGTGTTAAATGTTGTCTTCAGCAAGAGGACCTTACCATTCATAAACTGAGATTTTTTAGAAAGGGAAGATGAATCTGGTAAAATGTATTCAAACCATAATTTTAAAAGCCTTTTAAGGACTGGAGAGACAGCTCAGCTAGTAAAGGTGCCTGCTGCCAATCCCAGCAGCCTGAGTTCAGTTCCCAGGACCCACACGGTAGGAGAGAACCAACTCTCATACTCACCTTCTGACTTCTGCCAGCTCTCCCACTCTCGGCCTCCGCCCCACCCCATACACACACAAGCAGTGTGGATGCACAAGAATACTTTTCAGAACAAATGTTTATCCCCTGAAGTGTCCATGTGCATCTGACTTGGCTTGCTAGTGTTGGTATGATTCTTTTTGCTCCTCAAATGGGTCTTTTGAGTGTTATGCAATTCTTCTGTTACATTATTCTGTTTTGTTTTATCAAGAGAATTCTGATTTGGAGGTGCGTAAGTAAAAATATTTATAGTACTCAAATTCTTTCCCTTTTGAAGTTTTAGGAGATTAATATTTTAAATAATTAAATACATCTTCTTAAGAGTTTCATGCAAACAAGTGCTTTGTTCCCTAGTGACTATTCAAATAAGTAATCAATAAGCTTTTTGCCTAATTGTGTTCTCAGAGGATTGTCTTAATCTTTACATATTATGCATTATTCATGAATGTAGTTTAAAGTGAAGAAATAAGATGAGTGCCAACCTAGTGGTGACTTATGGATCATTCTCTGCTCAGAGGGTAGTTTTTTCCTACAAGAGGATAACTTTGAATGATACTACTAATGAACTTTTTAAATGAAATTGACTTATATTCCAGGAATGTTACTTGATCCTTTGGTTTGAGCTTTTGGTGCACATGTGTGTACATACATACACACACCTTATATGGCCAGTTTAGTTGTTGAAGTATTGTAAAAAAAAAAATCAGGAATTTTGTTTAAAAGGAAGAAGAAATGACATAAGAACAACAACAGAAAGAACCCAAATAAACCAACAAGCAAGCCCATATTCTTTTAGCACTCAGTTGGGTATACACAGCTCACATTTGGTGGAATGAATAGGAAAAGCCCATCCCAAATTCTTGAGGGATGAGGATTTATCTTCGCCGTCACTCCCAGCTGCACTCAGGCCCACTCTAGACCTTATTTTGTTTCCATAACTAGAGCCTGTGGAAGGCATAGGGACTGTGGTCATGTCGTCCATCTGCTCAGGCACCTTCTCTCCCAGGACTCCAGCATCTGTCTGTGTGAGCGCATATAAGGTGCTTCCCTCATGATTAGGGACATCCGAGCTTTTCCGAGACTGACTGACATATCTCCGTCTTAGTTCTAGTGCCCTCCTCAGCAGCACATATACCATAAAATTAGAACAACACAGATTAGCAAGACCCCATGCGTACATGGGTACATATTCATGAAGCATTACATATTTTTATGATGGAAAATTTTCATACTCATGGATAGGCAAATCCACACTGTGATTATCAGTCTTAGTTCACAGTTGAGGCATGTGCCTGGTTGGGTTAAAAAGAAGAAAAAGGTCTCTGGAAGACAACTTACAGCCAGCACAAAGCAAAATTGAAAAGGCTGCTTGGGACAACAGTATTTAAATTTCAAATCAGATATTACAAGGAAATTTTGTGGTACATTTTAATTTGTATGTGCTTTTGGATTAATACACGATCATAGGAAATAGCTGCTTAGTTGAGTGACTTTTCTTACAGATATGATCTGTACTTTGCAAAGGAACAGACACTGAAGTATGTTAGAGAACCTACTCTATAGAAAACGATAGATTGATTTGTGATAAAGAATCTTGAAGGTAAAATTCTGTACTGAGTTTAAAAGAATAACTGCGAACATCCAAACTGGCTAGGCTCCCACCAAGCCGGAACATGAAGTAGGATCAGAACCCCTTGCCATTGACCTTGGCTTCTCATCTGTCCATGAGAGGGAGGGGGAGAGGAGTGGGGGGAGGGGGAGAAGAGTGGGGGGAGGGGGAGGGAAATGGGAGGCTGGGAGGAGGCGGAAACTTTTTTTTTCTTATTCTCAATAAAAAAATAAATAAAAAGATCATATATATAAATGATTGACTACATATAAAAAAAGAATAACTGCGAATAATTATTCTATGGTAGATTTCCTGAAATTTAGCTAAATTCTTTAATCATTTAACTTAGGACCTGGAAAGATACATGAGCTCTACTACTGAAGAATCCTTATAGGGCTACATAGAGTATTTCATGTAAGGATAGACAGATGTGATAAAAAAAAAATTAGTCTTTATGCTAAATAATAGGTGTTTTTATTTAAGGCTCAATTAATCAAATCTGTTTTCAGAAAATTATTTTGAAAATTGTGTTGTATGTATACTAATGAAATTCTGACCTTTGGGTTTACACCCAAAGCTGACCAGGGTCAGTGAAATCAGAAGATCTCCTCCATTGCCATTGGCACTGCCGGGCAACATGGTAGCATGGAGGGAGAAAGGCGAAGATTCCCAGAGCCCTTCAAAGTGAAGTGGCGTCAGCCTCATGAAGATTCCTGCACCCTTCATCTCTGTAATCCGCCCCAGGGAACCAGAAAACCCACTGTAACATTGTCATAACAACACTGAAATAGTTCCAGTGTCCTTTGCTAGGGAATTGGATCACTGGATTTGTGGTGCGCCACACACTAGAACACCGTGCCTCCGTTACAGTGCGGCAGGAGAAGCTCAGCTGTTCCGCTTCACATACCCTAGCCTGAGTGGTTGTAACTCCATTTAAAATGTACCAAGGCAATGCGTAACCATGGAAATAGAAGTGTGATTGCTTGACTTGGCGTTTCTGTAAATTTTAATGATATGCTTCCTTACCTACTCAGTCTGCTTTCTTTCTCAAGACAGAAAATAGCCTAACTTTTTTATATTCTCTGAAATACACTACGGTTTTACAAGCATGGAGGATTTAAAGGAACGATTAAGGAGAAAATTGTTAGTTTACTAATAACTACGTATTTCGTTTATTTTAAGAATTACATGGATTATTTATCCCGACTATATGAAAGAGAAATCAAAGATTTCTTTGAAGTTGCAAAGATCAAGATGACTGGCACCACTAAAGAAAGCAAGAAGTTTGGTAAGCCTAGCGTGGGCTCAGTGTCCGCTTTTGAAGTAGTCTTACTGAATGGTAACTCCAAGGCTTTAGCAAGGCAGGAGAAAACACAATAGAGTTCAAGAAAGAGGAGGGCTAGCTAATATATTTGATTTACAGGTGTTTCAAAGAAAGTGTATTTGAAAAGAAATGTGTATCCATATTTTTTTTCACAAGCTAAAACTATATAGTGTATCAGTCCGGCAGCAGTTGGGCATTCACACTGTGATTGGCGGTCACTGTTGCTAGGGAAAGCAGAGGTGAGAAAGTTAGGTGCAGCCTGGCAGAGAAGGGATAGAGTGTGGTTTCTGATCCCCAAGATCTTTGCAGGTCGGGGTCAGTCATTGCTCTCCACAGAGAAAGAACTAAAAGTCATTCCTGGCTTCTTACTTCTCACTGGCTGCTTTAAATTTAGAAAAAGTGTTTATTTTCTCTCTTGCCTGTGGTATACAGAAATGTCACCCAAATCTCTCTTGTGATTGTTCCTTATTTTCTAAAGCAAAATATTGGAGCATATTGCTTTTTATTTCCTAATATTTAAAGGGACAAAAACATTGTTCAAAAGAAAAGCCAGTGAAAGTATCAAGCTAAGAAAAGATGTGCTGAGGCCACGTTCTGCTCTTGCATGTACCCATCTCTGGAGTTCTCTTTGGATGGAGTTCTGTGCCTATTCAAATCCAAACCTGGCCTTAAAGGGCTACATCGTGTACTCCTCGGTGTCTCTGGAGTCCCTTTAGAATGCTGAGTTTAGCATTGGCTGTTGAAATGAGCCTGTGCCCTAAGCAATGGCAGGAAACAGGCAGCAGTGTTGAATATTGCTGGGTCCTGCTCCCATCTGTTCTTCGGGGCAGAGAAGACTGCCCTTAGATGTCACCAATTTTAGCCACTGTGTTAATTACTGTGGTCCAGACTTTGAAGTGCTTTGGATTTGTCTTTACTATGCTACACTTCATAAAATACTGTCTTGGGACAGGAGGCTATTGAAAACAGACATGCTAACTCATCCTAAAGGCTAATTGTTCTAAAATAGCAGTGTGTTTATATCTTGTTGATGTTTCACTGTGGATATGTTATGCCTTTTTTGGCAAAGAGCATATTATTAATGCAGTTACGTGTTTAGTGTTTCATTAAGTATATTTGTCATCACTTGTTAATGTGCCATTTTATGCTGAGAAATCTCTTTTCAGTATATCAAAACAAGTTGCATATACTTTAAGATAACTGATATAAAAATACAACTTAAATAAAATGTAATAGTATCTTTATATTATTATCACATCTTAAAGCTTAAGCCTTTTCTTACTCTAAGTTCTTAAATTATCTTGTTAAAATATTTTAATTTACATAATACAGATTTAAAATACATTTTTATAATTTTAAAGCAATGTCATAGCAAAAGGATAAATCTGTAGTTATTAAATGCTGATGGATAGGAGGGTAATTTGTGATAATTCATCACAGAAGATTAGAGTATCAGTTATTTTGTCATCAAATACAAGAGAAAAACTAAATTCAGGGGATAGCAGCAGTTTGTTGGTCTCTCAGCATTTGACTTGTTAACATTTTAAAAGTAAAATTCAAGTTAAACACACGTCTTAAGAAATTCCCAATTAAGTAGGTTGAAATTTTTCCTAAGAGATTTTTTTCAATAATCCAGATTACGTGTAAATGAACTCTAATAGTAACTATAATTACAATTGGAACCCCTGGGTTTGGAAGGTTAGCTTTTCAATGACTTCAGGTCCTCACTTTAAATAGAAACTTCTTATTGTCCTTGCTCTGGCGATCCTTCCGCATAGGTGCTGGTAACAGTTTACCTTACAAATGGAAGAACATGACACAGAGGGCATCATCAGAATGGGGACGCCTCTTCCTTTCTGGAAACTTAATTTTATCTTTAGCATCACTCAAGAAATTCAAAATAGGTTAATGATGTCAAGAGAATATCTGTTCTTTGTGATAAAAATCTCTATATAAATTATTCCCTCTTTTGATGAATAATTTACCTCGATATCCTCAGAGATGTAGGGTTTTCCTCCTGGCATTGAAACTTTGATGGATTCTTCCATTCCTCTTCTCCAAATGTACTTAATGAGATAGAGGCAACGGAGACTGTTATTTTTACAGGTGTCGCTGGGGACAAGGTAGTGCTTACACGTGGACTTCAGCTGTTGGGTTTGACATATAACCATATATAAAATACATATCTTAACTATAAGAAACAAATAAGTTATTTGTAAAATATACATAAGATTTTAGTTCCTTTGTATATATAGTCACGTGATTATAGTGCCCCTGTTTAATATTACAAAATCTTTACAATGGTGTCAGAAACCATCTTATTGTTTCTCAATGAAATTAAGATTTTTGATTCCAAAGGTAGTTGAATACAAGGCTGGATTCAAGGGTTGGCGGAAGATTAATTCAATAATGTTTATAAATGTCCATTGTCAGCAGTGGAAGTGTAGCAGTAAACAGAGGCCCTGATCCACTACTCCTGTGTTTATTATCTACTGGAGACTACTTAAAGATATTTAAGACTTTATCTGAGTCTTTGCTGCTGAGAAAGAATTTAGATGTTTTGAGTTCCAAATTATTAATGGGCAATACTGGTGACTAGTCATGATTGTCTGCTTAAAAAAAGACTTTGAAATAGACTTTGCTCTCGGAAGGTGAGCCCACGCCCCCGGAATAGTGTTCACATTAGTGGACAGTTAGCTGCATTGTGAGTTCGCCACTTTAATATCTGCCCTTCCTGTTCCATGTCCCCTTGAACTTCCGGTGGCCGAAGCTGGCATCCCAGTGCTAGCATGGGAATGACCAGGACAGAACTCTACTTGGGCCTTTGCCTCAGGTGTGGCCTGGCACTGTGCCGGTTGACACATTGCTCTCTGTTTTTAAGCAGCTTTTAGATTATCATTTGTTCTTTAGTCCCAGTTTATGATTTGGTTCTTACCTTTTACCTGAACTTCTGAGTGTAAGTTCAGATGGTTCATGGCTTAGGCTCTAATGTTGATCTATACATACGGTGTAGAGCAGAGTTTGAGAATAAAAGAAATGTCAGATGTCTGATAGATTCAGACTTCCCTAGCTAGTCTGCCCCTCGCACTGCTCTTCCACACACAGCTCCTGACTGCTGTCTCCCCACCTAGTCCTAGATTCACAGGCTAGTGACCAAGGAATCCAGTGCACATTTGATTTTCATTTTAAAGCTGTCTTCAAAGGCCCACCTGCATTATTTTTGACAGATAAAGTAAAAGATTAATGTGGTGGGGATTCCCTTCAGAGGCTTTCAGGAGATATAGGATTGTTAATGCCTAAAGCGACCCCTTCATTCTTCACTGTATTAAATTACTTGAGCTTCATTTTCTCAAGAAACAAAGCCTTGTGAATTCATTCTTTTAAACGGAAGTGTACCAACTTCCCAAGCTAAGCCAACAACAATCCCACTCATTTAAAGAGGGTTTAAACACTGATACTTTTCCTGAATATCTAAGTAGAAGCCCCACATTAAAGGAGTAGTCAGATGTCTCTCATAGTTTCTCAACAGTCACAGAGCAACTCTCCGTGTGTTTGCACCCTCATTAGTCAGTGCTCACAGTTCTTTGCATGTGTCTTTTAAACTAGAGCTCTAACTGCCTCTTGTGCATGGTTTGTGCAAATTGCAGTTTATTAACTTGTCTTTGTCTTTGATGCTTGCAACCTAATCCATCACAGCTACACTGCCTCGAAAAGAAAGTGCTGTCAAACAGGACCCAGAGAGTGAGTATGCTTCCTGTGCTAGTAGGCGCCCTCAGTGCATGGTTGTTAATGTCTAGGTGTTAGTTACCTGTCTTGAAAACATTAATAGCAGATATGTTGATTGCAACAAATCGCCAGGTATTGGAAAAAGAAACCCAGCATGGTGGTTGTGTGTACATCCAAGAAATAAGTGACGTGGTTACAGTTACACAGCAAGGGCTGAAAGCTTTGTTGTGAGGGTTTATGGGAGACCTTAACATTGCACTTCTGTTACAGGCTGTGTTTAGAAGAGCTATAACTATTACTAGAGGGGCACTGGAGGGATGGCTCAGCAGTTAGAAGCACATACTGCTTTTTGAGAGTACCTGAATGCAGTTCCCAGCACCCACCTCAGTACCTCACAGCCACCTGTAACCCCAGCTCCAGTGGGATCCAATGCCTCTGGCTTTGCTGGCACCCTCACTCACATGCACATGCACACACATGCACAATTAAAATAGTAATAAAAATAAATCCTTGAAAAAAGTCTTAGAGGTGTGGTAATAGTTTGTATAATGAGGTCAAAGCTTGAATTGTCCTTATTAGAACATCATTTTTCCTTTCTGCCTTAGTAAACAGTGCAAGTTAACAGAGCAGTATTCAGGAAGGGTGGTTTCTTCAGTGTTGCACTGTTTATATTCTGAATAAACCTTATATGTTCTTTTAAGCATAACCATTAATTCCTTAATGTGTGGAGGCTGTTACTCATTTTCTCCATGGCCATGATGAATTCCTAAATTCTACCTAAGCACAAATGTCTCCTACTTATATGGTTAGTGATGTCACATTTCAATTATATTTTAAAGATATCAGATGCACATGTATCTGCCATTAGCTAAGTAACCTACTGAGAAAAGCAAGGTTTTTAGATACAGGAACATACTAAGTTTAATCATAAATGATTGGCTTTCATGGGAAAATATGTCAGGAATTGATAGTTTCTTGTGGTCCAACTTCACAGATTGGTATTTAAGTAGAGATGATTGATACTTGGCTGCAGGTTTTTTTTTTTTTAGAAATATTACAGAGTTCTGTCAACTGTAGTGTTAGCACAGCTAACATGACCATCATCTCTGTTCCTGCCCATATACTTGAGCTTAGAGATAGCACCAGATGCTTTACTTTTAGGATGGGATGGGGCAGAGCATAGACTGTCTCATCAGCAAGGTCCTTTCCATGCTAGTCCATAGACACATGGAGCTCTCCTTCAACATTCTGTGCAGTAGGACCCAGCGTTAGTGAGTGTCATGGGTTCTACAAAACATGCAGTAGAATCTAAGTCCCAGAAGACCGAGACTCTAAAAGGTAGCCCTTAGGCAGGTTGTAGGTCTTTTGTTCCTGAGACACAGCTTTCAAAGTTCTGTTATTTCTTAGGTCTCCATGGGAGCTCTGGGAAACTCACTGGATCAACTTCTAGTCTGAATAAACTGAGCGTCCAGAGCTCGGGCAATCGCAGGTCCCAGTCATCCTCCCTGCTGGACATGGGGAACATGTCTGCCTCAGACCTTGATGTCGCCGATAGAACCAAATTTGATAAGGTAAAATAACAGGCAATTTTTAGCACTAGCATGTGATTACCTTAAGTGTTTTTAGAGATGGAGGCTCCTGGGACAACTTTTAGGTCATTACCATGTCCCTCCAACTCTTATTTGAATCTGAAAAAAAAATCCCCATCAAAAATGGCAACTAAAATATGAATTATCAATTAAGTAACATAAGAGCTTCATTAACATTTATTTGTTACAAATATGACATCAAATCACACCTTAGTTGTTTGAGGAATGACAGAATCAAGAAGGAGTAACACTTCACTGTCGGCTGCCATGCCTCGAGTAAGTTTCAAGGTTTGTCTTCCTTTTGTGTTTGAAGTGACTGTGAGTCTTCTCTTCAGTCTGTTTCACCTTGGAATTATGTTACTCTGTCAGTCCTGGGAAAGTTTGTCATTGGCACATTGGAGGAGTCTAACTTAGGAAATTATTCATACTTTGACCTGTGTCCTTGCTGAAGAGTGAACTAAAGGTGGCATTTGTTTAAGCATCAATTCAATTCTTTAATCCTTGGGTCATTTGATTTCCTTCAGATCTTTGAACAGGTACTGAGTGAACTGGAACCACTGTGTCTGGCAGAACAGGACTTCATAAGTAAATTTTTCAAACTACAGCAACATCAAAACATGTCTGCATCAATGGTATGCTTACGTTTATTTGAACAGTGTTCATAGTCTGTAACATAATTAACCTCGTTACTATTATTATGTGTTCACAATTTCAGTATCCAAACTGAAAAGGAAAGATTTGCAATAAACCAGTCTTTAAGTATTTTTTTTTATTCACAGAATACTGAAAACAGGAAAGTAGTTGGGAGTTTGGATTTCTAGTGTTCTAGAATGTCTTAAACCAACAACCTCTGTCCTAACAAAGGAGGAAATGTCTGCCTTTGTTTTGTAGAGAACATCATTCAAAAAGCAATTTTAAGCAGGATGTGGTCACTCATGTCTATAATTCAAGCTTGGGAAATTTAGGTGAGAGGATTATATGAGTTCTAAGCTAGCCTGGGATGCATAATATAAGATCTAAAAGACCAAAAGTCCTACCAATTTTAGTGTTCCCAAAGAAAAACACAACCTAAGAGATAATGCTGTACAGAGAGGGATGGGAGCATCAGCTTTGAGTCCAATTTTGTCTTGTGGCCTTGCAAGTGTACATGTGCACTGTAGCTGGTGTCCTAATCCCCAGATTCTGCTCCCGTAATGTGAATATAGCAATTCCTCCTCAGCCCCTTCATGGCGTAAGTGTAAGAGGATGAAATGAGAGGAATTCTGGAAAAATCACAGTTCAGATGAGAGTCATCTTAAAAAGTTATGCCTCAGGCAGCCAGCGTATGCAAAGCCATCATAAGATGAGTGAGAAATTTGTTACTATTGGGAGTCCGTTCCTCATAGTAGGAGTGTTGCTTGCTATGCTTCAGAAAGAATTTATGATAGCATTTATATGTTTATTTTTTATTATTTTTATTTTATCTCTGTGCATGTTTTGTCTGCATGTTTGTCTGTGCCCCATGTGTATACATTGCCCAGGGAAGCCAGAAGAGGGTGTAGGATGCCCTGGACCTGGAGTTACAGGTTGTGAGCTGTCATCGGGGAAGTGGGGTGCTGGGAATCCCACCTGAGTCCTTTGAAAGAGCAGGCAGTGCTCCCAACTGCTGAGCCATCTTCCAGCCCCACAACATTTTTTAATGCTGAAGTTTTCATTCTAAAGTTGTTGGATGTTTTTTTTTTTTATTTGTTTGTTTTGGTTTGGTTTTTTGTGGCAAACTTCCTTTACATCTGAGTACATTCCTGTTCTCATGTCCTCCTTTCTTCACAACCATACCACATGTACACATAAATAAAGATAACTAATTTTTTTACCCTATATTAGTCCTTGGGGGTCGGGGTAAAAACAGGCTGGTGAGATGGGTCAGTGGGTAAAGTGCTTGCTGAACAAACCTCATGATCTGAATTCAATTCCCGGAGCCCACATAGAGCCTAGGCAGTTTGGATGCTCACCTTACTAGACCTGGATGGAGGTGGGTAGTCCTTGGATTTCCCACAGGCCAGTGAACCCTGATTGCTCTTTGGGCTGACGAGGAAGGGGGACTTGATTGGGGGAGGGGGAGGGAAATGGGAGGCAGAGGTAGGGAAGAGACAGAAATCTTTAATAAATAAATAAATAAAGAGTGAACTGAAAGAACAGCCTCTACCACATTGTCCTCTGTCCTCCATTCTTGCTCTGTGACACTTCACATGTGTGCGCATACACACCCACGCAACAGTTTAATATTTTTAAATATAAGAACACGTTTCATGAAACTTTCTTAAATAATGTATATGTTACTTTAATAGTAGTGAAAATATTACTGTTTTCCATAAAGTATTTTCTTGTAGGTATTTTAACATGTAGCAGACTTTTGGTATATGAATTTGTCACTATTTTTGCAGACTGAAGCAGAAGACGTGGATGGTGTTTCATTATCACGACAGCATAGTTCTGGCACACTGCCGCCTGTTTCATCTGAGTATGTCTTTATTATTATCTGTTGTTTGTAATGGAAAAGGTAAACTTGGATTGAGGCATAAGAAAGTGTTACTAATGGAAATAGCCACACAGTTCTCAGTAACCTGCTGGTACCCATATAGAATGGACCTGTGTGTGCTGTTGCTATGATGATGAAAAGCCCTGTAAAGCAAAGGGTTTATTTTGTCCCATAGTTAAGGTGGGGAAGTGGAGGCAGCAGGAACTTGAAGCATGTGGTCATGTTCTATCAGTGTCAGAAGAGGAGAGCAATGAGTGCCTGTGTTTAGCTCACTTTCTCCTTGTTATACAATCCAGAAGCCAGCCCAGGGAATGGTGCCACTCACAGTAGGCAGATCTCCCCACCTCAACTAACCTTATCAAGGTCATCCCATGGACGTGTCCAGAAGCGGTCTAGCATAGATAATTTCTCACGGATGTACATGGAGGCATGTTTCCTGGGAGATTCTGGATCCTGTCCAGGTGGAGTCTCTGCTAGTCCTTACATGTGCTCGCTCTCCTGTTGTTGGTCCTATTAAAGGCCTCATCTTAAACTGCTCTGTCTGGAAATCACAGATGGATGAGTCCGTGCTAGTGTTTGCTGCTAGATAGTAATGGATTTCTTAGAGAAAGAAAAGCACAGTTCAGTGCCCAGCTTTACAAATGAAGCAAACAATTCGCTAGTTTTATATTCAGAACTGCTATAGAATAGTTCATCATAGTTTGACATTTTTAGCTGCAGTACCAATTTTTAGCTATATTTTTATATACTAAACTGCAGTTACATTTAAAGGTTGATTTACCTGAGGTTTATATTAATTAACTAATTTTCTTACTTTCTGAACAGGAAAGATATGATTCGCCAAATGATGATTAAAATATTTCGCTGCATTGAACCAGAACTGAACAACTTAATTGCATTAGGAGATAAAATTGATAGCTTTAACTCCCTTTACATGTTAGTCAAAATGAGTCACCACGTGTGGACTGCACAGAACGTGGACCCTGCTTCTTTCCTAAGTACTACATTGGGAAATGTTTTGGTGACTGTGAAGAGGAACTTTGACAAATGCATTGTAAGCTATTAAGATTAACTCAAGAACACGTCATTATGTAAAATGGCTAATTTGTTTAATCCAGGGTCTGGTATTCATAACCCCAAAGCTATGAGGTAGGGAATTGGCAGCAGTCCATTTGAACAGAATAAGTTGGAGTGTTTGGCTAGAAAGGCACATGCATAGGGACAGCTTCTGCCCGAGTGACCCAGTGGGTCCCTGATGACTCAGTTTACTGAACTGCGACATTTGGTTTAATGAAACAATTGAAAGGCATTTGGATTTGTTGTTATTTTCATATATTCTAGTAAAATTGATTTATTTTAATTGATAGTTTAAATGATTATAATTTATTTTAATTAATAGTATGCAAAATCATACTGCTATCTTTTTTTAAGAATCAGTTGCTGCGGGGTAGGCATGATGGCACATGCCTTTAGTCCCAGCACTCAAAGACAGAGGCAGGTGGATCTCTGAGTTTTAGACCAGCCTGGTCTACAGAGCTGTACAGAGAAACCTGTTGCTAATAACATCTAGCAATCATCATGTTCCTCATAAAATAAAAACAATACAAGTAGCTTTATTGTTACCTGTTGGACTTTTACAGTTTGCAGGAATGAATAAGCCTGGTTCTTTAAAACATTTTCATTTTGTTAATGTACTTTTGGAGTTTTATCATTTGAATATATCTACTGTGTAGCCTGTAAGTTATATCTAGTTCTTAAATATCCATAGAATAATGGCAGGTGAAAATATTAAGGACAATTAAAACTCATTTCATGCTTTATGCTTAAGCACTGTCTAGATTGGGAATGTATTTCAGTGGTAAATGGTGTGCTTGGCATGTGTAAGGCTAGAGCCTCATTCCCCAGCATCACACAGACAGCACATCCCTCTCCAGTGTTGGTAACTAGGAGCTTCTTACTCCAGGAAGACGTTTGGGAGGAAAAGGAAGAGCTAACAAAGACTGAGATAATGGAGTGAGTGATCCTGGAGGTCAGGCACTGTCCATTTCCAGAGCATGAGGTCCTGGTGCTTTTATCAGCACATGGCCTGGCAGAGAAAAGTGCGTCATACCTGATAGCCTGAGTAATTCACAGCAGTCTAGCGCAGGCCTGAGAGTGCACAGATGCAGCTGACCCTCACATTACCACCTCCTTGGGGAGGTGATGCCAGCGATACCTTCCTGAGTCATGTGACTCTCAGGTTACCAGCACCTCAGGAGGCGATGCTGGTGTTCAAGAGGTGGAGTTATTTCCCAGAGTCAGCAGTTAATAAGTGACCCCGTAGTCCTCTGCTGCCCTCTTCACCCCTCCATCCTAATGCCACCTCCTAATGTTTGTTAGTGCTGAAGAGGTGGAGCATTCGGAACCATAAACCCAAGTAGTAGACAGAGTTATCTACACCAGTGCCTGCAGTCTAGAAATTACTGTCTAATCCATATATGATGTGGTTTTTCAGCTTATGTTCCCATATCTCAAGACTGAAATTTTAGGTAGAAATTGATTTGTCCATGTGAGTAGAGAAGTATGTAGAGTCACACTTAAATCAGTAGATCTTTCTGCATCCTGATGGCTGGATGAAAGTCCATAATGGACTTGTGTCATCCTTCTCTGATCTTGTATCCCCATCTCTATAGAATTTGTCTTAGAAAAGTTTTAGAGAGTAGTTTAGTACTAGTTTGGAAGTGGTTATACTTTTCAGACTTAGCTGTTTGGCCACCAACCAGAAATAAACGAGGGGCATCCTCCATGCCCTGGCCTGGCTCTGCTGTAGCCTTAGTGGACACCTGTCTTGCCCCTGTCCTTCATGAATGATAGAGTGACAGAAGCTCAAAATCCTTGACTGAATCATCTTTTAAATAAGTTTAATTGTTTTCCTTGCTTTTATTTTCTGAATGCAGTGCAGTATAGAATGTTTCTATCTAGAGAATCGCCTTCCTTTGTTCCCTTGTTTCAGTTCTAAGCAAGCTTCTGCAGTGCTCTGTGCACTGTGTGTGCATTTGGTTATCTGTGGTCTCTAAGTTGCTTTGCTTTTTCTCCCCTTGCTCTCTGCCTTACTTTAGAGTAACCAAATAAGGCAAATGGAAGAAGTAAAGATCTCGAAGAAAAGTAAAGTAGGAATTCTTCCATTTGTTGCTGAATTTGAAGAATTTGCTGGACTTGCAGAATCAATCTTCAAAAATGCTGAACGTCGTGGCGATCTGGACAAAGCATACACCAAACTAATCAGAGGAGTGTTTGTTAATGGTGAATTTTTATGGTTTGTTCTAAAGACCATTGTGGCTCTTTCTGTTGTTCCTGGGTAACTCTGAAGCTGGGTGCAGACGTGCTCACTGTTTTTAGTAGACTGCACTCCCTGTGGGCTTCCTGAAATTGAGCATCTGTGAAATGGGAAAGCTAAGCAGCACATGAGCTGACACAAGAGCCACTCTTGGACCAGGCTCTGAGGCCTTATCACTGTAGGAAATTGAAGGGTTTTTTTTTTTTTAATGTAAAAAATGACCTTTGCATTTTAATAAGGGTTCTGGGTGCTAGGCAAGGATGTCTGTGTAGTGCTTACAAGTCAGTTCACTTAGGCTGCAGTTTTTTATCTGTTACTCAGGGAGTTTCCCTGTGAGCTGGTTTGTGTGCAAGCCCTCTAAGTTGGGAACATTTTTGGACATGTTAATTTGAAATTGTCTGATTACTTACACTCAGTGATTTCAAAAGCAAAAATTGAACAGAAAGTGAAAGAGGAGAGGGGCATGGAAAAGTTTGAAAGTAGAAACATCAAATGTTACAAATAATCTTTCCCATGACTTAAAAGTCTATTTTCTAGTTTTTGTGAGTTCATATGAACATGTTTTATTTTAGAATCAGATGAAATGAATAAAATATGTATGGTTTTGTAATCGATATTTTTTTTTTACTATACTTTAGTATACTATTCCATACCCTGGAAACTGCTTAACTCCATAAACCTGTTATCTTTCCTTAGCAATTAATATAGATTTCTGTCTTGTTTAATTTTTTTCTGTTGCTTTGATAAAATACTTTGATAAAAAAAAAAAAGCAACTTAAGGGGGCTGGACAGATGGCTTAGAGGTTAAGAGCACTGACTGACTGTTCTTCCAGAGGCCCTGAGTTCAATTCCCAGCAACCACATGGTGGCTTACAACTATCTGTAATGAAATCTGGTGCCTTCTTCTGGCTTACAGGCACACATGCAAACAAAATACTGTAAACAAAATAAATTAAAAAGTTTTTTTTTAAAAAAAAAAAAAGCAACTTAAGAAAGATTTAATTCACATCACAGTCCAAGGTACAGTGCATCATGGCAGAGAAGTTAGGTCAGCAAAGCTGGAATCAGCTGGGCCTATATAACCACAGTCATAAGAAGGTAGCAGTGAATGCTGCATGTTAGTGTTTGCAGTCCAAGATCCTCTGGCTAGGAAATTGTCCCACCCACAGTGGGCGGGTCTCCAGCCTCAGTTAATGTAATCAGGATCATCCCCCACAGCCATGCCCCAAGGCCCATCTTTCACATCTAGATCCTGTCATGCTGACTGTACTAACCATTATAGTAACTATAATTAGTTTAATGGCCATGCGGTCTTCTATATACCACTATTTACTTACTGAATATGCCTTTAGTATGTTTTAGTTTCTTTCCAGCTAGAAATGAAATTGGTGATTCAAAGGTTTATGTATTTATCAAGATTTTGCCAAATTATGCTGCAGAGAGTTTATATCAGTTTAATGCTCTGAGTATCTGATGGAATGTATACTCTACAAGTGCTAGATATTACTCCCTATTGTCAGTTTATCCCTTGCCATACCAGTAGGCACCAAATGATCTCACCCATTTTATTGTACTTCGTGATTTTGCTCATGGTGTTCATGTAGGAGTTTTCAACTCTTGTTTTGGGGTCATTCTTAGAAGGCTATCACAAAACTTGATTTTTAACTCGGTATATTTTTCTTGATCCTCATGATCCTGTAATTGCTTTTTATATTTAAGTAATTGAACATTTTAGAATCTAGCCATGATATTAATCATCTGGCTGCCCTAACATAGCAGCTATAATTCATAATTCCTCTACTGATTTGAAAAGTTACTTTTATTCCATACTGAATTTCCACATGTGCACGGTATTGTTTGAAGATGGTTGTTTCCGGAGGCTGTGAAGACTTTGCAATGTAGAATATTGTGTTAGTCCTGAACTATTTGACTCATATCAGAGAAGTTTTCATTTCTTTTCTGCTTTGATTTTAGTGGAGAAAGTAGCAAATGAAAGCCAGAAGACCCCCAGGGATGTAGTTATGATGGAAAACTTCCACCATATTTTTGCAACTCTTTCTCGACTGAAAATCTCATGTCTAGAAGCTGAGAAGAAGGAAGCCAAGCAGAAGTACACTGATCACCTCCAGTCTTATGTCATTTACTCCTTAGGACAGCCTCTTGAGAAACTAAACGTGAGTAGATTTTCATTTGGTCTTTCCTGCTTTTGATCTGATAGCATACAGACGTTCTGTGTACTGACACAGGAGAATGAGGATGAAGGCTTGGTTGTTGAAGCTGCCTGTGTACCAGACATTAACAGATGTTCTATGTATGTAGTTTCCTTTAATTCCTATAAATGGTGATACACCCAGGTGTGGAAGACACTCCTATAGTCCTCACTGCCTTGAAGGCTGAGACAAGAATTATATTCAATCCTGCATGGGCAGAACTCGGTCTCAAAGTAAATAATACATACATAGAACAATCATATGAGCTAAGGTACTGTTATCCCATTTTACAAATACGGAAACAAAGTGAACTTGAGGGGAAACCTTGACTGAACTCTTCCCATCTTTTTCTTCATTAAATGGCCAAGTTTTACGTAGTTCAGGGGAAGTTTTTAAAAACTTGGTCAAGATAAAAGAACAAGGTCAGGCATGGTGGCACATGCCTTTTATTCCAGCCCTTGGGAGGCAGAGGCAGGTGAATCTCTGAATTCAAAGCCAGCTCGGTCTACATAGCAGGTTCTAAAATCACCAGGGCAACATGGAAAAACCCTTTCTTTGAGAGGGAGAGGAAGGGAGGGAGAGAGTATGTGGGGAGAGAGAGGAAGACAGAAAAAAAAGTAAAAGAAAGGAGAATAGGTTTGAGGTAAAACACTTGCTGAGTTTCTAATGTCCTTGTAAAAGTATGCTGTAATCCCAGCTCAGGAACACAGAGACAGGCAAGTCCTGAGTCCTCACTGACCTACAGATGTAGCCTAAACAGTGAGTTCCAGGCTGGGTGAGAGATCTTGCTTCAAAAAGTAAAGTAGAGAAGCAATTGAGGAAGACAACCAGATGTCAACCTCTGGCCTTCACACCCCCCCCCTCCCACCACACACATACATATATAACACATAAGATAAAAATATTATTTTGTACATTGTCATTCTTTTTTGACTTGAGTCATTTCCTTGAGCAAATGATGGATAATAAAATTAAGAAATGATTGTTTTGTTGGGTGTAATGGTTTGTGTTTATAATCCCATCCCAACTTGCAGAAGGCTGAAAGAGAGAGAAAAACCCTAAGTCTATAAACATATTAAATGGAAAATGAAGCAAATGCAGCGCATGAGATTATTTTCTGTATACTCACATTACAGAAACAGAAAAGAATCTGAGTGGTAAAAAGTAACTACCGAGTACCATGGTAATAAATGGTAGTTATTTTAGCTTCTCTGCACTCACATACTTTTAAGCCTGGTTTTTACGAAGTTCAGGTGATAGTGTAAGACATCCTTAGCCATTATTTGTTTTTGTTTCCTTGAAGCATTTCTTTGAAGGCGTTGAAGCCCGAGTAGCACAGGGCATACGGGAGGAGGAAGTGAGCTACCAGCTTGCATTCAACAAGCAAGAGCTTCGCAAAGTCATTAAAGAATATCCTGGCAAGGAGGTGAAGAAGGGTCTGGATAACCTCTACAAGAAGGTTGATAAGCACTTATGTGAAGAGGAGAACTTACTGCAGGTATGTGCATCCCCTGGCTTCACAGACTCGGGCTTTCTCCACAGGCACTACACATGCTCTGTTTAGTGCGTCGGCAGTGCCGCCGTAGCTGAGTGTGCTGCCGCAGGCCTGCACTCCCAGCACTTGGGGGTTAACGCGCAAGGACACAAGGTCATCCTAGGCTTCACAGTGAGCTCAAGGCCAACCTGAGCTACACTCTGCCTCCAAAAAGCAAGACAAAAAGTAAAAGACAAATGAAAGTTCTATTAAGCACAGGTCAGGGTGATGATTGTAAGGAAGAAAGGTCCCTATGTAATTATTTCTGCTTTATTGTCTCTGTTTAACTGGGGTTTTGTCTTAAAGGCTATGCTTAGTGAATGTGGCTTTGCTCAGTATGGTGCAGGAGCACTGAGTGAAGTTAGAGCTAGGAATGGATCTGTAATCTAGATCCAGATGAAGCTGCAATTTGGGGAAAGTTACTTGCCTCCTGAGCTTCAAATTTCCTTATTTCAGACCTGAAGCCTCTCTCATGGGCACTGACATTTTATAGACAGAAAGAACGGGTGCTCATAGAGGTGGAGTGGCACGGCAGCCTCGTTCACGAGCAGTGGGGCTGAGTTGAACCAAATTTAAGCTATATCTTTATAAACTATGTCAGAAGACTCGGGGCTGGGGAGAGTAGCTAGTTTCAGCATCACAGACATGCTCACCGTGATGCTGCATTTGTGTTTGCTTCCCAGAGTAGAACAGTGTGCTAATGTGTGGCAAGTGTGGTACTCAGTGGGAAATAGCACGAGCCAAATGATTAAAAGCAAACGGTGTAACAAATACCGTAAGAGACGGTAACTGGTCTTAAGACAGGAATGGAGGATTTAGAAGGCTCACCAGAAAACCCTAGAAGAGTATATCCCCTCAGTTGTCATACTGGGATATGATCATAGTTCTTACCCTCCCCTGGTCCTTAGGAGACTTAAATTGCATAGTGCTGATGCAGATAAATTTAATTCAATTTAAGCCTGAATCATTGTGTGTATGGAATTCTGTCTTGAAATTACCTGCATGTCCACCTCCATGGCGAGGTTGTGAATCAGGTAATTGTCTGGATCATCCTTGCTTTCCTTCCCAGTATCAAGCAATATTTATGCCATCAATTTTTGTTAAAGAAAAAAATTTGACTTTGTCTGAAATGGACCTTAAGTGTTTAGTATTGCACTTCCTGAATGATGGTCTTTGTTCCACACATAATTGTGCAGAGCTGCATCCGTTGTGGGTGTAGAGTCTGTGAAATACCAGCTAAAGCATGCCGGGTGCTTGCATATGGCAGAGCTGTCCTAAGAACTCTGCTTATTCACTAGGAGGAAGAAGTTTTGTTAGTCACACCTTGTTTACAGATAGGAACTTGAGGTCACAAGTCTTAAAAGTAGAAGGACTAAGGATGCTGGCTTCAGAAGGCATTTTCTTAACTACCATGCTGTACCAAATTCTGGATCCCTCTTACAGTCTGTTCTCCGTGTGTGATAATGTGACCATTTCCCCTCACAGTTCTTGGCTTTCACTTTCTGTTTTGTGATAGGTGGTGTGGCACTCCATGCAAGACGAATTTATACGCCAGTACAAGCACTTCGAGGGCTTGATAGCTCGCTGCTATCCTGGGTCTGGAGTCACAATGGAGTTCACTATTCAGGACATTCTGGACTATTGCTCCAGCATTGCACAGTCTCACTAAACAAGCCTGATGGAAGAACAAGAAGAAATGAACACACTCTCAGTACACCAACACTACATTAAAAACTAGAGCAAGTGCTTTGAGAAGGCAGACTCGAGCGTTTGTGTGTGACTGAATGTGAGATAACTGTGGTGCTCTGCCCCAGGTCCCGAGTGCAGAGCGCAGCCTGGGGGTCAGTTCTACTTGACCTCCCGGTGATGCACTTATGTAAGCATTTATCTCATCATGAACGCCTTCAGCACTCGCTTCTCTGTGCTGAGCGGGGCATTTCCCTTAATTGTCAGCTTCTGGTGTTTGCGAGTGGCTCTCCTGAGAGAACAGTGGGAGTTCGTCGGCACTCACTTCTCACCGGTTGCTAACAAATCATGGAACTGCAAAAGCATATACAGTATTGTTTGTCCCTTGTTTAGCACGTGTCACATGGGCAGGGGAGCTGAAGAGGTAGCCTGGATTTTGAGGATTATGCGGCTCTGTATATTAAATAAAAAAGTTTTTTAAAGTTGATATTTGGTAATATCCTTAGGTTTTATACTTGTTGCACATAAAAGCAAGAAGCTGTGTATCAAGACTAATTGTGAGGCCTTATACCAAAGAACACATAGAATTTTAGCAGTATATTGTGCTAATAGTGCTCACTTGCCTAAATGAGTGCTAAGCTTCTGTGTTTGGGGCAGTCCTCACTTTTAAGAGAGGAGTCAGAAGATGGTAGGATGGGTGAACAGGGCAGAGGGATGCATGGAAACAGGTGCTAGAGGCACGGACCTAACAAGCAAGCTGAAGCCATCCCAACCTGTGGGCAGTAGAAATGCTTGAGAAGGTGACTTGAGACCGTCCCAGCTGGCATCCCTGCCATCTGGACTTCTGCAGTGTGGATCTAGAAGGTAGGTCTCTTTCCTATTGCCTAGAGGAAGAGTAATCGGGAGAAGGGGAAGCTGGTGGGCTGCGCTCTGGGCTGCATTTAATTTCCAGCAGCTTTTCCTGGTCCCTTTCATTTTCATTGCCCTGCCACCCTATCAAGCACCTGTTCTCATCCCTCAGGATGCTGTCAGTTTGAGACATGTTGACTTGTTCATCACCAGCTTGGCAGCGAGGGTCAACTGCTTCATGGAATCATTAACTATTGCACTTAACTGCTTATTAAGTACTGAGTTAAAAAGTAAAACATAAACGGACACTAGTTCGTGGAAAGGAAAAAGCAAGGATGTCCTTAGTCCTGCCTGCAGTGTTGGGTATAGCCAGTCTGTTTTCAATGAGGTTCCAGGCAACTGGAGCCCAGCCTGCCCTCCTGCCCTGCGTTAATTTGCTGCCTTGCTGTAAGTGTGCACACTGAGCACAGTGGGCAGTGGCATACTTGCACTGGGACTTCTTGTGAGGAAACTGGCCCTGGAAGAAAAGAAAATGTGTCCTGTACATAGTTCTTACCCTGTACAGCAACCAATGCAGTATATGTTTAAGAAAAGCCTGTGGGGTGATTCAGATTTATGGAGGATCCCAAGTGAAAGATGTCCATAGTGATATTAATTTTGTGTTTTAACAAATGCCTGAGGATCAGAGTGCAAAGTTAGCCACAGCCATAAAGTCCAGGCAGTGCTGGTACATGCCTGTAACCAGCAGCCACACTAGTTGGCCATAGAAGCTGGGCAGTGCTGGTTCACACCTTTAGTCCCAGCACTAGAGAGGCGAGGATAAGATGGGAAAGGACGAGCTCAGGATCTCCATGGGCAGTCTGAAGTTTGGTGGAGAACATCATAGTCTGCAGTCACACTGAGCGTAGGATGGCCTCTTTGTTTGTCTGAGCCTTAGTAAAGGTAAGAACTCTCTAGTGGCTTGGCTGCTTTGCTTTTCTGATCTTCAGCTTGAACCCCAATATCTGTCTCTGGGTTTTTATTATTTGTGCTACATCTGGCACCCAACTTTTGGGGTACAAATTCACAGAAAAAGCCTTTTCGTGTGGCTTTACAGCCACTGGCATAGGCCAGAGCTACACACGGCCAGAGTCACCACCCTACTGGCTAGGTTTTCTTCTCTCCTGGTGGGCTTTCCCTGAACTCCCTTCTCAGGCTACTGCCAAACTAGGTAGCTGCCTTGAAATCCAGTCAGGCTTTTACTGTTCTCTGCAACAACAATAAACTTCACACCTCCATCATCATTGACAGCAGGTTTGGTGGGAAAATTGGGAATTCTTTAAGGGAGAAATTAGTTTAAAGAGCTTTTTTCACACGTTGAAAAATGGGAGACACTATTAGAATAAAGTTAGGTCTCTGCATGATTGTGTAATGCATGATTTAAAAGTGACACATTAAATGAAGTGATAGTCAACTGGGATTGACATACTATTATCATTTTGATAATAGTAAATAATATCATTGCTGTTTTGATAATTCTTGGTTTATCTCTTAAAAAGCTATTTGGTTTGACTGCCAAGATACAGGCCTTAGAAAAACTTAATAAAACAGATCATAGAGATATTCAGATTCAGACAGGAATTTAATGCAGAACCAATTTCAGCATTACATTATAGAGAGGAATAGCCTAAGGTTTCAAACAAACAACCTTAGTATATCCAGTAACCTTACAGGAATTGCCAACTAATAGAGACTCTGTAAGAGCTAATTGGATTCCTGTGCCAATGTTAGACTTAAGGACATTCAAGGAAATGATGGTCTTATATGGCATGCATTCACCTTTTGTGAAGCAATGTTAAACTCACAGTCAGTTTGTAATAGAATTATCTGTAAAGACTAGAAGACTTGGTTAAAGCTGTTTTAGAGGCTAGTTCACAATTACAATAGAGTATGTGCTTCAGAGAAGGGGCTAATGATGTGGGATTTCCCTCTATGTGCTGAGAATACCATTGGTTAATAAAGAAAGCTGGCTTGAGCCTATAGCAGGGCAGAACACAGGTGGGGAAAACTAACCTGAATGCTGGGAGAAAGGAGAAGGAGTAAAGAGAGAAGCCATGGAGCCACCTCTGGAGACAGCCATGCTGAAACCTTGCTGGTAGGCCACGACCTTGTGGTGATGCACAGATTAATGGAGATGGGTTAATTAATATGTAAGAGTTAGACAATAATAAGCTAGAGCTAATGGGCCAAGCAGTGATTTGATTAATACAGTTTCTGTGTGATTATTTCGGTTCTGGGCGGCCAGGACAACAAATAGCTTCCTTTCAACAGGCTAAGACTATTGATCAATAAAGTAACGCTAGAGGTATGAAAATCTCCCAATATCATCTTCTTAGAGAAGATTATACTACTATAGAAAGGTTATCTTTATATGATGACCACGCCCTGGCTTTATGCCACACAGCAGCTTTGAATATTTGGGACAGAATTGGAGAAGTAAGAGTCATTTACTAACGTTATACAGGGTCCAAGGGAAGCCTTCACAGGTTTCTTACAAAGATTGGTTTAAGCAGTAAATAGAATGATACCAAATTCAGAAGCTGGACAAATAGTAATTGATTTTCTGACTTTTTTTTTAACTTTTTTTTATTTATTTATTAAAGATTTCTGTCTCTTCCCCACCGCCGCCTCCCCTTTCCCTTCCCCTCCCCCAATCAAGTCCCCCTCACTTGTCAGCCCAAAGAGCAATCAGGGTTCTCTGCCCTGTGGGAAGTCCAAGGACCACCCTCCTCCATCCAGGTCTCGTAAGGTGACCATCCAATCTGCCTAGGCTCCCCCAAAGCCAATACGTGCAGTAGGATCAAAAACCCATTGCCATTGTTCTTGAGGTCTCAGTAGACCTCATTGTCCGCTATGTTCAGTGAGACCTGTTTTAACCCAGGCTTTTTCAGACCCAGGCCAGCTGGTCTTGGTGAGTTCCCGATAGAACATCCCCATTGTCTCAGTGTGTGGGTGCACCCCTCGCGGTCCTGAGTTCCTTGCTCGTGCTCTCTCTCCTTCTGCTCTTGATTTGGACCTTGATTTTCTGACTTTTGAAAAATTCTAATTCTCAGTACAAAAGGATAACTAGGCCTTTAAAGGCAAGGTCACCACCCTTGGAGGAATGGATCCAAGATGCAATCAGTATTGATAATAGAACAGCTCTAGAAGAGAGAACAAAAAATTCAGGACAAACCATAAAGCAAGTATTTTGGCAAACATCTATAAATGAATAAATATCAAAATTAAAAATATGAATAAGTGGATGTTGTCATTAAAGGTCTAGAAGATAGGTGTGGATGTAACAATAATTGGCGTCCAAATTGACCTCTTTAGGATATAAATGTTCATCTTTTAGGGACTGGAACATTATCTCAGGTGAAACAGAGTGTGAGATGGGTCAAATGTATAGGGCCAGAAGGACAAAGAGGAATATTAAAATCATATGTTGCTAACATAGCAATGAATTTGTGGGAACATGATTTGTTATGGCAGGCTTTAGAGCAGCTGGTACAGGAGCAACTAAATGTTCGGCATATTGAAGAATCAACCAGCCCTTGGAATTCTCCTGTATTTCTTATTAAAAAGAAATCTGGAAGATGGAGAATGATAACAGGATATTCTAGGCCTGTAGGCAAAGATGAATGCCCCAACATTTCAGAGGAACCTCGGGTGACTGTCCAGGCAGCCCTCTGTTTTGTCATTTCTCATATTTTTTGGGAGTTGCTTGCTCTCACTTCCTGCTTACTCAGTTGCTCTTGTTTCCTTCTCTGAGGTAGTTGAAGACTAGAGAGTCATAGCTTTCCTTGTTTATGTGAAAAGAAATTCACTAAAGAATTGTAAAGTATGTAAGTTTGAGAGCTAGCAAAAGATAGTTTTGCATAGTAATGCAAGTTATGATAGAAAATAAATTAGGTATAAGACTTTGGACTCACCAAGATAGGATGGAGTATTTTCTCTGAATTTGTCAAATGCAATGGATTAGACATTGTTGATGTACTTATTGTCTGTATATATTGTATATAGTCATTGTACTTATTGTATATAGTTTTTCATATATTAGTTATAGCCTTTTTATTTTAGACCCAAAAGGAGGAAATATAGTGATTTTATTTGTTTTAATAAATAAAGCTTTCCTGAAGATCAGAGTAGAAAGCTAGTCACACTTGTCAGTCATACATGCCAGGCAGTGGTTAGCAGCCACACTAGTTAGCCGTAGAGGCTGGGCAGTGGTGGTACATACCTTTAATCCCATCACTAGAGCAGAATATAGGGCGGGAGGAGACAGGAGCTCAGAGTCTCCATTGGCATTCTGAGGTTTGATGGAGAGCAATGCAGTTTGCAGTCATTCTGAGGTTTGTCCAGGGCTGGCAATTCTTAGCTGTTTATTGTCCAGACCCTAACAAGCAGAAACTCAGCCAATATTGGTTACCCTGACGACTTTGATGTCAGTGTTGACCCGTCACCCTTACAGCACTTAGGGAAAAAGGACTTTCCAGGATTTTCAAATAGTGGAAGAAAACTGCATTCACTCCCAAACACTGCAGGTTTTCATGAGAGAGTTCATAGGCCCTGACATTTAATGTGAATAAAAGTATTCTTGAAGTGGGTACTAAAGTA